CCATGACCACTTAAGTGTTTTGAAGTAAGCATGGTGCTTAGCTCTTTATGTGCAGTGTTTGCAGTTTGAAACATGGTTCATACAAAGTTATAAACCATTGCTACCAGAGGTGTAATTCCACCATTGGAACTAGAGTTCTGGGTTGGATAGTGTTAATTTTGTGCTTATTGGGCCTCTGTCATCAGCACGCATAGCATGCAGGGGTGAGACAACCAATAACAGCACAGCTATGCCACATAAGTCCCCCCTTCAGTCTGTCATGCCACATACGTCCTCCTTTCAGTCCATCCTCCAGTAAGGGATAGTGACGTCACCGAAGGAGGATCAGGTTGCAGGGTGGCCTGGGATCACGTAATTTTTTTTTCTTCCATGAGGATCATGCCAGCAAGGCTTACTCTTTGCAAAAATAGTGTTTTATTAAATAACATATTAGTATACTGTTTTTATAGGACAAATAGGATTTCATCTGATATCCTATATGCAATATAACACAACACTAAGTATCAATAAAACATAAAAATGTACACTTTTTTCACAGATTTGCTTACAATAATTTCTACACAACCAGAACTGAGAAAAATAATTCAAAAGAGCATTACTTATTACTTCTGATTTTTTATTTTTATAAATTAACCTTGTTACACCCCTATGGCTTTCCAATCAGACAACAGGTCCTGTTACTTCCTGGTAGTTTAGGTCAGAGAATTGCTCAGAGCACCTGCCTTCCTAGGATTTCTTATTGACCTGCTCTTGGAAGTCTATGATAAAAGTTTATCTTTGGAAAAAGCAGACACCCCACACCATCACAGGGAATTTAACTAGGAGCTTCAAGAGCATTTAGACATTTTTAAATTAGCCATTTTATCACTGACCTCCGCTAAGTCAGCTGGTTGTATTTGATTATTTGATTACCTTTAAGTTAATAACCTTGCGTATGTGTTCCACTACTAAAAAGGCCCCAAATTTATTCTCTGCTAATGCCCCCTAGTACATCGATATCTCCATGTAGATCTTTTCCAGGTGTATCAGAAGGTATATGGCCAATTACAGGAATGTCAATTTCCATTTAAATATTTACTGATTTATTAAGGACCCATGCTACTTTTGGGACAAAATATTAGTCATTAACGGCACTTTACCCGCATCATAGAATAACACTTGTACCAAAAAAGACAACTTAATGGTATTAAGTTTAATATATTGAGTCTTTTCAGTTGGCTGTTTGATCAGCAGTTTAGGTTTCAGTTTAACTTCATATATATTTTTTTTTGTTCATATGCAAATGAAATTCTACAGTCCACGTGTGACTACTACTTCAAAGCCTTCTGAATTTATATTCTTCTGCATCTCCCAAGAACAGCAATACCCCACATGTATACCTTTGCCAGGTTTTTTGGGGGAACTTAAATGGCCAAATTAGAGCCATTCCCTAGTACTGACATACCTCTTTGCTCTATGTCTCACCACACTGACCAGAGTCAGACTTTGCAAATATTTTTAATTTTAATTAAACCTTATCCTAGCAAACCTGTGCTCAGCCTAACTCTAACCAGAGCTCATTTTTTCTAACCCTGCCATTTAGTAACGGATACTCTGGGTATCATATTAACCTCAGCGCCATGTAGTATGTCCCGCTAACGAATTGTTTAACCCCAAAGTCTTCAGTCCAGCGTCCATTATCTCTGCCCTGCACTTGCTTACTTCGTCTGAGGCTTTAACCCCTTAAGGACACATGACATGTGTGACATGTCATGATTCCCTTGTATTCCAGAAGTTTGGTCCTTAAGGGGTTAAACAGGAAGCCCCGAACTGGGAGCTGCTGATAGCCTGAGAGTGTCAGTAGTTCTCCATCCACAAAACCAAGTGAGAAAAATATGTATAATTTTTTTCACTATGATTTGTAATTGGGGAGCAACTAAATAGACTCAAAGCGAGATCGGGACGAAGAAAGGAAGTTGAGAGGCAGAGCTAATGGGCCAGAATTGAAAAATTTGTAAACAGTTTAACCCCTAGAGCCTGAAACCTCCTTGCACCATAACATTGTGATGAATTTGTTATGGTGCCTGGAGTGTCCCTTTAAGCCTTGCTTACTATAACCCTAGCTAACACGAATCCTAACAATGCACTGTTTAGTAGAATTGCCCCTAGGCTGCGTGAGTGCTGTGGGAGCCAATCACAGTGATCCTATTACTTTAGCTGAGAGCTGAAGCATGTCATCATTGTGAGTAGTTTCCAAGGTGATCAGACAGCCTGGGAACCAATCAGTAACTATTGTTGGATTGCCTCACTGGTGATACAGCCAGCAATAGCACGCCAACAGCTGATTCAGGCACGGATGGCAAGAGTCGGGTATCACATGTCAATCATGTCGTAGGCTCACTGTGATTGGCTATCACAACAATCATATGACATTATCAGCCATCTTGAGCTATTACTGGACAGGAACAGTGCTGAGGCTTCCAGTAACAGAATTGTATTGACAAAGGAAATACTGTTCTCCACGAAACCAGCTTTCTAAATAGGCCTTTGACTGTCGATGAACAGTATAGGTCATTGGCCAGCAAGTTTATAACTGGACAGATACATACTGTAGATCATTGGTTATGAAAGGGTTAAAGAAACACTTGCAATATAAAAAATAAAAATGTATGAAAAATAAATAAATAACATTAAACTGTTGTAGGAAACTACTGGCAGATGGCAGTAGTGAGGCCAAACAAGTTAATCTGCAACAGAAAAAAAAAAAAAAAAAATATATATATATATATATATATATATATAAGATACTTTTACACAGCATATGATGCATTACTGCATTGCTTGCAAAATAAAAAAAATAAAAAAATTCTGCAATCTTGTTCCTCTTTTTGTTACCAACAGTGCAGTGATTTCCCCACATAAAAAGAAAAGAAGAATGTTAAATTAAAGGGTTACTATAACACTTTTCTCGACAATGTTTTTTTAGCTTTACTATGTCCTATTGGGCACTATTGATCTTGTCCATATCCTTTATTTTTTTTATTATTTTTAAACTATTAAATAAATAAAACCTTAAAATTGAATTCAGCACTGTGCGAGGTCCTCCTTGCTTCTTTCATTGATGTCATGCTGCAGCATCCGCCGAACTCCCGGATCAAAATATTGAAAAAGCAAAAATAGAAAAATAAAACAGAAAGAAAGTGTAAATGTTAAAAAAGAAGTGAGGAAGAGAGCACAGGGAGGAAGGGAGGGGACACCGAAGCTTCCCCTTGCAGTCTCACTGCCTGCTAGGGTGAAGCTTGTTACATCTGTCGCCAGCTCACAGTGTGTCTGACGACAGATGTAATTTTTGCACAGAATTGATATTAGGCTGCCAGAACAGACTTTTGGGCTGCCTAAATCATGTGTGCTAAGGCTGCAATTAGACCCCGGCACAAAGGTTACTCTATATGTATAGCGTTTCAAGCAGAAGCGCTGCACACACAGACTCCTACTACCATGACCACTTCTAAAAGCAGAAGTGCTGATGATGGTTGAAATAACCTTTTAAGGGGAGGCAACATAGGAAATATGTGCACCTTGCACTGAGAAAGACAGACAGTCTTCTAGATGTTGGAATGTACATCTGGGCCAACCAATTTAGGCTGAACCGGGGATTGTAGATCTGAAGCAGCTAAAAGCCAAGAGAATGTACACCTTTAACATAAGGAATTAGGCAAACCCAAATGATAGGAAGGGACCAAATAAGTTTTGTAACATTTTCAGCAGACATGCACACAGATGAATCCAGGGACTGATATTTGCTGCCTGTAGTGTGGTCTGGGCTATGACACCATTATTCTATGCTCCCTTTGTTCCTATATTGCTTTAAATTAGAACTTTAAAAAGAACAGTGGACAATTGTAAGCTTGTTTGGGCAGGGTGTTCTTTACCTACTGTTCCCTTATGTCATTTTGTTAGCTTAAATCTTATCTTGTTTACCTATTGTACAGCGCTGTGGAATATGTTGGCACTATATCAATGATTATATTTGTGTAGCATTTACATTAGGAACAGTTATAGTTAGGCCAATATGGCATATGAGAATAAGCTGCCACAAAGTGCAAGAGAAGCTAGGGGCCAGGGCACTTGCCTTACATGAACCTACATTCTGTTCAGGATACTGTGGTTAAGCTGAAAATGTTATGCAGCAGGTTCATGAAAACAAGCCAGAAAAAAAAAGTAATGCAAAGATGTATAAGACATACAAATAAACATGATGTAAACATTACAATCTGCTAAGTATTTAGGATTGTCAGTGTGCTAATGTTTTACTCTTGGTGGAGAGCCTGCTGATATAGGGTGTCTGCCAGCAGGGCTGCCATCAGAAAATTCTGGGCCCCTGATACTGCTCAAGTTCTGGGCCCACCCCCCGAGTCTGCCCTTTTAATCTGCCCATAGGACCTGCTCCCGAGGCCACCCACAAGGATGCAGTGTGTTTGTGTACTGAATGCAGGGTGTGTAAAGTGGATGTGATGTGTGCAGGGGCGTACCAACAGTGGTGTATCCTGGTTTTGTGCCGCCCTAGGCAGGACAAAACTCAGGCACCCCAACCCCCTGCGCCACCCCCACCTAACCCTTCCCCCCCTGCCCCGCCTTCTAAATACACACACACATTCACTGACAGATACACATACACTAGCTAACAGAAACACACTCTCACTAACAGACACACACTCACTCACTAACAGACACACACACACTCACAGACACACACTAACAGACACACACTTACTAACAGACACACACACACTGACAGACACACACACTAACAGACACACACACACTAACAGACAGACACACACACTAACAGACATACACACACACTAACAGACAGACACACACACTAACATACTCACTTGTGGGTTTTTTTTATTTTTATTTAACCCCCCCAGCCTCCTTACCTTTTGGGAATGCTGGGGGGGTTCTCTTTCTCCCTGGGGGTCCAGTGGCTGCTGGGCGGTCGGGCGGCTGGCGAGGGAGCACTTTCCCCTGAGCTCTCTGCTCAGCTCCCTCGCGTGCCGCCCACAGAGTGATATGACGTCATATTTCGTCTTCCAGCCTCACTCTGTGGGCAGCGCGTGAGGGAGCTGAGCAGAGAGCTCAGGGGAAAGTGCTCCCTCGCCAGCCGCCCGCCCAGCAGCCAGCCGGGCATGTCAGTTAGCCGTGAGGCTAACAAGACATTTGCCCTGGGCTTTTTTTGCCCCCCCCTGGAAAATGCCGCCCAAGGCAAATGCCTTGATTGCCTCGTGGCTAAAACATCCCTGCATAAGAGCATTTGGCACCCTGGGCGGATACTGTTTGTGACACCCTCCCTTAGCCCCTTCCCAAATGTAAAAAACACCCACAACATTTTTTAAATGTTTTCTTTTTTTATAATGTATTGCACACATTTGTAAACATTTTAAAAGCCCTGTCTGCCCCTTCTACAAATCCCCTTTCCTGCCCCAACCCACCTACAAAATCCCTGCCCTGCCCCCTTCTACAACACTCCTGCAACCTTCTACAAAATCCCTTCCCCCCCCACACAGTTACAGGCAGACAGTCTCACACACACACACAGGCAGACAGTCACACACACAGTTACAGGCAGATGGTCACACACATACAGTTACAGGCAGAAAGTAAGACATACACATAGTTACAGGCAGACAGTCAGACATACACACACACAGTTACAGGCAGACAGTCACACATACACACTCACATGCAGTCACACACACAGTTACAGGCAGACAGTCACACACACACACACACACTGTCTCTTTCTCTCTCTTACTTACTTACAGTATGGGCTGGAGGAGGAGTGGATTCTCTGAAGTCCCTCCCTGGAGTCTGTTAGTTGGGGAAGCAGGGACTTCTTGCTTCCCCTCCATGTGCAGCAGTAACAGCAGCGGGTGGGGGCTGAGTTAAGCTCCGCCCCATTGACAATTTGGCTCTGCCACATCACCAGATTGTCTCCGCCCCATTTTCCTTCCATGTGGCCTGTTTTGAATTGGCTGCATTGCTGGTCTCTGCATGTGTGAGCTGTGTCGGCTGCCCAGTGCCCCAGCCGCCATGGCGACCTGAGGCTGCACAGCTCACACATACCTGGCCCTGGTCATGACACCCCGCTACCTGGTGGCAACCGGGGCGGACCGCACCCCTACTTAATACGCCACTGGGTGTTTGTGTGTAGTGGATGCAGTGTGTGTTGTTGATGCAGAATGTGTGTGTGTAGTGGATGCAGTGTGTGTAGGGGATGATGTGTGTAGTGGCTGTGGGCTTGCAAGAGTTGGAGAGAGCTTCTGGAAGCTGAAGATCTTGTGTGCTGGGCCCCCTTTTTATTATACAGGCTTCCGGGGCCCGCATGAGCAGTGGTAAAACTAACTTGGAGAGGGCCATGGTGCAAGAATTTGTTTTTTGGGCTCCCCTCTAGCACAAGGGTGGCTAAAATGTAGATCCCTATTTGTCGTACAAGTCCCAGAATGCTTTGCCAGCTGGGGATCTATAATTTTCCATCTTTGCAGGGTTGTATTTAGCACTGAGCCGTGTGTGTGTTTGAATGTAAGCATGTTTTTGTATGGGGTATATGTGTGTAAATATATTGGTGTTTGAATGCAGGCATGCCTTTTGTGTGCAGTGTACAACTGGGCCATGAAGACATATGCCCATCGGAGGGAGCTAAGTGCATGGAACACCGGATCTGTCCCCTCAGTGTGCGGTTGTGATCACTGCGCATGGTACATATATATAGCGATAATCGCTACATGTGTACAATTTCCTAATGCCAGTGAAATTTCTCATTTTATGTCTGATTTACCATCAGTGTTTTACTATATAGAAACATAGAATGTGACGGCAGATAAGAACCATTCGGCCCATCTAGTCTGCCCAATTTTCTAAATACTTTCATTAGTCCCTGGCCTTATCTTATAGTTAGGATAGCCTTAGCTACTAACTAAGCGTTACGTCTACTTTCAGTAAGCTCACGCTAATTGATGACTAGCTTATGGTTTAGCGACCAATACTTTTTATTTTTCTACTGTGTAATCTTTCATTTTTATTTTTCTATGAGTAGACACACTGCGGTACAAAGCCAACAAGCTCCAGCCACCCAGTCTGTCACATCATACTATACCTAGAGTTATTAGAGCTATTTCTCTACTGTAATGGGATTCTGCTTTATTATAAAATGAGTTCTGTTTATCTGATATGTGTCCTAATGTCCACCACATTTCTATTGTGTACACTGTTGTAATTTCATCTCTCCAGCCCAAGAAAGCAGGAAACCAGGACATAATCAAGTAAGTGAACTAAAAGGAAAAATGCAAGAGACAATACTAGTAAAAGGAAAACAAATGGTTAATATTTAAGACCTAGGCCAGGGACAGGCAACCGTTTAGTAAAAAAGATCAAGTTGTATTTGTTTAAACTGAGGTGTTTGTTGTCACATTGTTATTTAACAGTAGTTCCTTTTTAGTGTTGTGTTTGTGCATATGTGAGCTGTTATATTGTATACGTTCAAGAGTAGTTTGTAGTGTTGTAGATGATACCTTTGAACGTGGGCTGCTGATTGTGTTTGTAGATTATAGGTCATATTCTGTGTTTGGGGGTGTATGTATGTGTGGGGCTGATTGTGGGGTTGTGTGCGTGAATGTGGATTGTCAGTGGTGTTGTGTTTGTGGGGACTGTGTGTGTATTTTTGTGTTTGTATTATTTGTATGACGGGAGGCTTATTCTGCATCTCTGTGTATAACTATCAGTGTGGGTGACTTCCCTGGGGTCCAGCAGAGATCAGGTTAGCAAGGTAGAGGTCAAGGATAGGAGATGCGATAGCTGCTGCGCACTGCTCTATTCCAGTGCAGATTCCTGTTCACAAGTGCTGTAATGTGTAAATTGAGGATTGTCGCTCACCGTTTGGTTTGCACTAGAAGATATCTAAAGTCCCATTGGGGCTCTTTTTGGCAGCCTTGAGTGCTGTGCAAAGGCATCTGGAGTGCTGTGCAAAGGCACGTCGAGTGCCATAGGTTGCTGACCCCTGACCTAGGTCAAACTGAGAATCCTACACCAATAATTTAAGCACCATAACCACTACAACATTCTGAAGTGGTTACAGAGTCAAGATTTACCTGTCATTTTCTCCCAGTGTAAGTAGTCAAACCATTTGCAGACAGTTTGACTATTTATCTGGGATCTGCCAGGCATCGGTCAGAGCCTCCAAGGGAGCCAGAAGCTTCTGCCATGAGCATTAAAAACCCTTTATTTACTTACATTTTCCCAGCACTAATGTCCCTCGTCACTAGGCCAACACAAGCGGGTGCTAATGCGCATGTGTTGCAAATGTTTAACATTGCAGCACTAAGTGCAAAAGGAACACTGCACCCAAACCACTTCAATGACCTGAGTGGTCTGGGTGCCTACAGTGTCCCTTTAACAAAATGCTCCAAATCCCAAAGCAATTCAGTGTCCGCTCTGTCTCACTATAAAAGTGCCAGTTTCAAAAGAAAGTGGAGTGTGCCTTTAAAACTCACAAGAGAGCAGACTTGACTGAAAAGTATATGTATTTAAGTTAAATTTGTCTTTAAAAGGACTCTCCAATGCCAGGAAAACAAATCAATTTTGTGCCCCCCTCTCTCCAACCCCCATTCCATGTTGCTGAAGGGATTAAAACCTTTTCAGTGATTTACCTGAATTCAGCGCGGATGTCCCTCGGCACTGGGTCAGGTTCCGCCCATGCCCCTCCCCCACCGGGGGAGACCTATTGCGCATGCTATTATCAATGCTTTCCTATGGAGATCCTGGCGATGCTGGAGGTCCTCATGCATAGTGTAAGGACATCCAGCGTTGATTAAAACACTTTTTGTGTTTTCGAGAAGCCGGAAGTCCAGCTAGTGGCTGTCAGATAGAGGAGGACTTAACCCTGCAAGGTAATTATTGCAGTTTATAAAAACTGCAATAACTACACTTGCAGGGTTAAGGGTGATGGGAATTGGCACCCAGACCACTCCAATGGGCAGAAGTTGTCTGTGTGCCTGGAGTGTCCCTTTAATAAATGATAGTACGAAAATAATTTTCAAAACATGCTGTACTAACACATAGGGTCGCATGTCCTGCTGTGTTTTCCTGGAAACAGAATTTCTTAAAGCTGAAGGGCCTTATTTTGGCCTTCTCCATATGAAAGCATTGACCTGATGTTTTCCAATATGGTTTTTCAAGACACTTAAAAATGTCCTCATGGAAAGTGTGAGGATGTCTAATGTTGTTTTAACAGAGTTAAATTCTGTGAAACTGCAGCAAGCACCTCTAGTGGCTTTCTGGTAAACAGCCACAAGAGTCAGCCTTAACCCTGCAATTAAAACCATGATGTTTCAACTGCAGTGTTTTATATTTCAGGGTTAAGGAGAAAGGGGCACTGCACCCAGACCACTTCAATGAGATGAAGTGGACTGGGTGCTTATATTGTCCCCATCTCATATGAGGCCAAATTAGCCAAACTGAAAATATAGCTATTGGTCTATTTGACCTAAAACACAAAATCCAGTATAGTGAATAATCCTATAAAGATGTGAAATACTGGATTATACTGAATTGAAAGCCAAATTGCAAGATGCTGATTAATACAGTCAAGCTGTGAATGTGTTATTGATTTCCTTCAAATGAGCTATTGTTGACTAATATTTAATATGTACCACACTACACATTACACAACTACATCTCTAGACTGTAAGCTCTGGTCAGGGTCCTCATTAACCAATTGTTCCTGTGACATTTTGTAACTGTCTCATTTATTGTTAATTTTCCACTTTTTATAACAATGTAAAGCGCTGCAGAATAAGTTAGAGTTATATAAATGCCAATAATAATAATAATAATAATACAACATATTGTCATGAATAAATAAATCCCTGTGAGGTTTCTGTATAATATTTTTCGTGTTTGTCACATATATATATATATATATATATATACACATATACACATATACAATAAGAGGTTTCCTTACTAAATATCAAATTATAGTGAACTGCTACACATAGACCTAAATAGTTGAAATGGGAAAAATTCTCCATCTCGACTATAGTCACAGTTTGGCTATTTTACCCTAAATTGTGCAAATCAGTTTTCAATTCAGAGCTCAGTCAATAAACCTCTCTCTTTTTTTTTTTTACTTCCATACAAAGCTCAGCTACAAAGCCCAGGCAGTCCTCCCCCCAGCCCAATGTAAACACTGCAGGGCGGAAGTGCCACCGCAAGCTTCCGGAGATCACAGACCGAGAGACAGCTCGGAGCCCGGAGACAAACATTTTTTTTTTAAAACGAACTTTATTGCATCGAACATTAACACGCCACATAATTTAGGCCCAATCGACTACGAAAAAATACCTCAAAATAGAATCACGCCAGGCGTGCATCCTTTGGACCCCCCAAAGCCCCCCATTAAGATAAATGCTATTAGGATCAAATAATTCAGTACGTGATAAAATCACAGCAAAGCACCGTTGCCCTTAGTATGCGAACAATTCATGTCAAAGCTAGCAGCGCAAACACCGCGATGTTGGCTATGTACGATAAGCAATGCGTGCGTGGAGATTAGTACGCGCGGTATAATCGGAATTTGTTACTGTGGATGACAGCGAAAAACAATAATTGCGCTTCGCTTGCCACCTCCAACATAGCGTCCGTTCTCCGGACGAGCTTAAAAAGCGCAGACGTCCTCCAACCCATTCCATTCTGCGCGCTGATTGGCTGCGCATACGTTGTGACGTCATCGGCCCAGCCGAGCTACTCCCTCCTTCCTGTGTAGCGGCTCCTGTGCCCCCTCCTCACCCCGTGTGCGCATGCGCAGAGCCTCGTCTCCCGCGCAGTCACTTTGCGCCAAGTGCGCGGCCGCCGCTGGGGGAGGGGAGACGCACGTAAGCATCCGCGGAAGGAGCCGGACCGTCAACAGCGACCCCACCGCAAGACCCTGACCCCCCCCTGCGCCACTACCACCACCACCGCCGGGCCTGCTCCTCCTATTCCCGTCACCGCCGGGGCCCGACATGGCCCGAGCCTCGCAGCTTCTCACCGCCGCCTGGAGCCATCGCCGAAGGAGGGACCGGCGGCAGGTCGGCTAGGCCCGGGATAGGCCTCGCCACATTCCTGGAGCAGGGAGCGTGCCCTCCTCTCAGCCCGGGATCTGTCCGTGTATCTGTGAGGCCCAGGCCGGCCTGTATCCCCGGGACACTCTCAGCCTCCCCCGACACCAGGCCCGGCGGCCCCGGACCCCCACAGCCGGTGTGTAGGAGGGGGGTTGATCCCCCTGGGGGAGCTCTGTGCGATCTGTTACCCCTCTCCCAGGAGCTGGGCTTGCTGTGTGTAACCCGGTGCTGAGCCCTCTGCTCCTTCCCGGGGAGACACCACCATCATCATGGAGACCAAGACCATCGTGTATGATCTGGACACCTCTGGGGGGCTCATGGAGGTAAGCTGAGTTTCCATAGGGGGGGAGAAGGGGGTGCACTCATTAAAATGTCTTTCTTTATGTTCACATGTCAATCCTTGTGCACAATGTGTTCTTCCAATAAAGACATTACAGATATGCACCTACTATTGTGCAGAGATGTTTCTTTGAATAGGCATCTCCAGTCCCAGAGGGTTTGTGTTTGCACATAACCTGCCCCTTTCTTTTGAACATTGAGGGGTAAAATGCAATACCACACGTTGCATCCCCCTCCTTTTTTTTTTTTTAAATTTCGTGTTTTTGTTTTTTAAAGTCGCATCCTATAGATTTCTCTGTGGTTTAAAGCTTGTAGTGCTCTGAGGTTCTGTGTTGTTGTTGTTGTTGTTATTATTATTATTATTCATCTTTGTTGCAAGCCCACACTTCAGTTTGTAGGAAGGTTTTGCAGCTCTGGCCTCCCTGGTTTATAAGAAAGGTGGGAGGAGGCCACATTCGTAGTGCTGTCTGATTTGGTGCCAGTTGCAGCTTGCTTCTTACTATGCTGTGTATATGGAATAAGCGCTCATGGAAGAGCTTTTTGTATGTTTTGAGAGTGAAGATCAAGCTAAGTCAGATGTAGAGTAGATTGTAGATTTCAATCTGTGTGGACACCAGGACCAAGGTTGCAGTTTGTGAATCGACTTTTACAGAGGTTTCCTTTATAAAGCTAAGCAATTGATAGGGTGAAACATAGAGAGAGGGGGGGAGTTGGCTTGCAAAGGTTTATAGTGCACAGTATCTGCATGTGCATTTTCTTCGCATTTCTTTAGTCACTGCCAGAATGTTTAAAAGCAAGTTGTTCCATAGCCATACCTTATGCAGTCTGTATTGCTATTGTTAAGGTGGGGGGAAAAGATCCATTGTTTGAACTACCAGGCACTGCTTCTTTGAAAGAACAGTTTGATACCTTTTTCTAAATAATGTACTCCTCCTGCCTTACCTCAACCAGCAAATCCAAGCCTTGTTGGCTCCCCCGAAAAGTGAAGAAGGAGAGAAGAAAAGCAGGAAGCCTGAGAAAGAGCCCAGAAGAAGCGGAAGAGCAACCAATCATGACAGCTGTGATAGCTGCAAGGAAGGTGGTGATCTGTTGTGTTGTGACCATTGCCCGGCTGCCTTCCATCTCCAGTGTTGGTGAGTGTTGCAGACAATGGGCGGCACTGTTGCTCCCTCATTAGGTTTTTCTTTAGATTGCCAGCATATTGGGTACCAAGTTGTTTCCTTTACAAAGGGGCCGATATATTCCCTAGCATCTGTGTACTAAATATCTTCTTCGACCTTTTAGAACATAGGGTGGTGGCTGTGCTCCTCCCTTTTCCTTGTGATACATAGTATTATGCTTCTACTTAAGAACGTGATATATTTAGATAACCTAAGGCTGGATCTTTTTGTTTGTGTGTGGGGGTTTTTTTTGTTGCTTTTATTTGTTTATTTTTTCCTCTAAATGGATGAAGCATTGCCTGCCGGACTCATTGATTTAGTGATGAATTGCCATCACGGTTTATTACATGAATGAAAGTAACAAATCATAGCTTGTTTATTGCACTCTGCTTTATTAAATGGCATTTCACAGAAATAGTGAATTCCTAGAAATAGTGGCTATTGTTCTGACCACTGAGAGGGTTGTTTATGCATGAATCCATTGATCTGCTTTAAAGGTTTACGTATTGAATGCTGTATGGTATACAGCAGTATTGGCTAACCTCGCTACCCAGAGACATACCGAGTGTTCTATTGTCAGTGATGTGGGTAGGCACAATCCTTTGCATACCCAATGCAATTGCTTAGTTTCCCCAAAATGATGAGCTGTTGTGGGCTATGCAACCCATGATGCTGAGCCAGCCAGTTCCCTGGCTAAAGACTTGACAAAGATAGTGCACAACAACTGCAGTGACAAATATTAGAGTTAATTATTTTAGGTATGCATTCTAGCAAACTGTTAATTTTAGAGCCTCTGCTTTTATTGTTATTCAGTTATTTCCTATCATGTGTGAGATTTTATTTTAAAATAAATTTGATTCCCAACTGTAATTTTTGTTCTTTTAGAAATCACTCATGTGCAAACAAGCAGCACAGCCAAAGTTGTGAAATGATTTATGGTTACTCTGTAATAATAAACCATCATAAACCTCTAGTTTGTGACTGCTTTTTGCTACTTTTAGATACCTCAGTGGAAGCTATTCTCTTTGTCAGTTTGTGAAGGTGCACTGTGCGTGTCTGTCATTAATCTATGCAGGCTTTATCCTTGTTGAAGTAATAAGGATCATGTTTGCCTTTCACCACGTAGACCTCATTACAGATTCCTCTTCCATTAATATCAAGCTTCTCAGTGTGTGAGAGCTGGACTGAAGCTCCTTGGATTTATTAGTAGGCCAGCAACATGTTGGACTCTGGGATGGAAAAGCTCTTTACCTGACTCTTTTTAACCCCTTAAGGACCCATTAAAGGTGTGACATGTCATGATTCCCTTTTATTCCAGAAGTTTGGTCCTTAAGGGGTTAAATATTTCCACCTAGTGATGTTTGTCACACAGATATGTGTACTCTGTGTCCATCTTCGTGTTACAAAATAGTGACATTTATATTTCCCCTTAGAACAAACTATAATTCCAACTGTTATAAGTCTTTTTAAAAAACAAGTTCAGTAGTGCTTGGAATTGTGCCAGCATTGTTGAAGGCCCACATCCCTCTCCTATTTAAGGAATATGGTTTATGTCTGGTAAATTCTAGAGCTCTATAGCCATTGGATTTGACTTGCACTGTAGCGCTTTTATGTATTTATATGTTTACTTGGTAAACATTTGCATCGTAGCCCTTTGTATTTGATTGGTGCACTTTTATGTCCTACTTTCTACTTTACGTTTACACTACAGTACTAAAATATATATATATTTTATTTTTTTAGTCTGGCATTGTTGCAAGAAAGGGTGGGTATAAAAAAAAGAAAACAAAAAAAACCTTGTGACCCTAAACATTTTAGGCCTAGAAATTTTTTATTTATTTAATATGGATTACATAGCTCTTAAATGCATATAAAACATCAATTACATGTAGAGATTGTAAGCGAAGGATATCTAAATTGTAAAGTTATGTTCATTTATTAATACAAATTTTACAAAATCATTTACTTAGTGTATACAGAATTATTGGGGCAACATGATTTAATAGATTATGTGCTATCCATTTTCTTACAATATCTGTTCAAGTCATAAAGTCAGGAATTATATTTTGTCAAGTACACTATTGATTATATGAAGTACCAAATACCTTGTTTCTGAGGATCTTTAAAGAAAGTGAAAGTGTTTTTAGAAACCGTTTTATAGAATTGTCTTTGTGTTGACCATAATGCCTTCAACCAGTATATATAACTACAGCATTTGTGTGTAATGGGGCTTTACAGGTTGCAAATCCAACCTGCAAACAATCCTTGAATAATTCTTGCTGTGTTTTATGTCCAATCTTTCACTTTCATGATTGCTAGAATGCAGCTATAAAGATTGACCTTCAACAATTGCATCATGAGCTAGGGTCTTTTATGCTCGCTGTGCAACGGGATAGAGTGGGGCCCAGGCAGAGAAGTTAATTTATTTTCTAGGTGTAAATTAGCAGTGGAGCACATGGTTTGGTAAGTGACTTTGTTGGTTTTACATTTTTGTTTTCAATGTAAAACAAAAATTAGCCTGTATCTATGCAGACTTGGGAATACAATGGAAATAAAAGCTTTGCTGCTCCATCGATTATTTTATGCTGATCCTTCAACTATTACATTGTTCAGCGCTAAGGAATTTGATGGCGCTATATAAATAATAATAATATACCAGCCCAAATATGTAAACCAGCATAATCACAACCGGCCAGCTTGAACACTTCAAGAGGTGTTTTTTTTTTGTTTGTTTTTTTACTTCAATAAATTATTTTTAAAAATGAGCTAAAGCATATGACAAAGATATGACAAATCCCAGGTCGCCATGGCAAATAGGAATTTTGTCCTGACTCCTGAGTGTTTGTCAGCCCGGCGGAGTGCTGAGCCATGCGGCAAGGCTGCAGAAATTTTCCTGCAGTTCGTGCTCTATGCCCTGCTGTGGTGCTGGGAGATAGAATATGATGTCCCTAAAGCGCTTGCGGAAGAGGTTGAAGATTATTCAAGCCCCACTGAACCCCAGGAAAATGATCCACTCCAACTCTTCCAAATGTAGGGAGCCTGTGTGGATAAAAATTAAAATGAAGAAAATGTGTGCATCAGTGTGTCTGTTTAGGTTACCTGCCCCCCTTCCAATTGCATGGGAAAGGTGTTTTTAGTTACGTATTTTCCTACGCCATGCTGGTCTCGCTGTGGCTGTTACCATCTCTATGGCTGAGATCATCAATCTTGATGATCTTAGCCAAGCCAGTGCCTTTCTATAGGAAAACATTGGGAAGCTATTGCGCATGTGCGACAAAACGCTGCACTGTGCCAGTCAGCATCTCCTTATAGACATGCATTGAATCAATGCATATCTATGGGGATTAATCAGCGCTTCCATGCAGAGAGGGGAGGTATTGAAAGTAGGTGCATCACACTGTGCAACACTGGACTAGGAATCGTATCTAGTGGCTATCCGACTGATGTCACTAGAGGTGTTACTAGGCACCAATGTAAACACAGATTTTTCTTTGAAAAGGCAATGTTTACATTGAAAAGCCTACAAGGACAGGATATAGACACCAGAACCACTACATTAAAGGATCACTATAGTGCCAGGAACCCCTCCCGCCGTGCTCTAGGGTGAGGAAGGGGTTCTCCAGCGCCGGGCGGGGAGCTCTCCTCCTCCTCTTTGGCTGAGTGCGCATGCGCGGCAGGAGCTGCGCGCGCATTCAACCAATCTCATAGGAAAGCATTCATAATGCTTTCCTATGGACACTGGCGTCTTCTCACTGTGATTTTCACAGTGAGAAGCACACAAACGCCTCTTGCGGCTGTCAATGAGACAGCCACTAGAGGCAAACTGCTATGTTTATAAAAAAAAAAGGGGGGGGGGGGGTTAATCCTAGAGGGACCTGGCACCCACACCACTTCATTAAGCTGAAGTGGTCTGGGTGCCTAGAGTTCTCCTTTAAGCTGTAATGGTTCTGGTGGTTAGTGTCCCTTTAAGAATTGTATTTTTGTCATTGAAAATGAAACTTTCTTAGTTTTAAATAAACTGGCTCCTAACTTTTTATAGCTGGCTCCTAGATTCCAAGCAAATTTGTCAAGCCCAAAGCTAATGGTTTACAGATTGTGTGAAAGAAAAATGTTAAGATCACACAGCAGCCTGAATATCTGGCCTACTTATATAAAAAGCTGTGGTCTGGCATGGGTTCATCAACACAGTATTTTAATATATTTGTTCATATGACACCTTCTACCTTTTGTAATATAGGTTATTTGATAATAACACACTGAAGGGTGGTGACAGAGGCAGGAAATGTTTCAATACAGTTTACTAAACATGTAATTGCTTCTGTGGAAAGTGCTATTTCCTAGTCTGTCATTTGGGAGACCCATATTTATTCTGTTTTTCTGGGGCATTGTATATTATACAGTTTAATGCATTTCCTTTTGGAGTGGTTTTGCATAATTAAACCAGCCTGGTCATTTCCAGGATTATAGAACTAGTAAAACAAATATATTATGTCGATAAGTTAAATATATTCTCTGTTTCAGTTTATTTTGCTTATAGGTAGCAGGAAATATCAATCTTACATACACTTTCTTTTTCCCAGTATCAGCCGGTTATTAAACAGTGTCTTACTGAGCTATATTTTACTTTCAAAGAAATCTGATTTAAAAAAAAAAATAAAAAAATGAAATTGCTTTGTATTCCTACTTTTTATTGCAGATAAGACAAAATCTGATGTTTATCTCAGACTGTGGTAGGTTTAATGACTTGTTCAGGGTTATTTAAACCCCAGGGATTTGTGGTGAAATGATATCAGATGTAGACTATATTTTGTCTACATGTTGTTTAAGAGTGACCATCTCATCTGAGTTAAGCATGGTTATATAACTCCATAATGTTGACCTGCATGTTAAGTCGCCTATAGAGTTGCCAAACTCACTGTTTAGTATAGCTGTGTGAGAGTGCCTTTAACTTCTAGAAAATGTTCAAAGCTTTTCATAATTCCAGCTCAATTGGTGTCATATTCTGCATTTTTTGTGAACCTTATTAAAATAAAGCAAAGCTAGCCTAATATTACAGCAGATTTCACTTAAAGGAGCACTATAGGGTCAGGAATACAAACATGTATTCCTGACCCTATAGTGTTAAAACCACTCTGTGGCCCCCTTTGCCTCCCTAAAGATAAAATCTTACTTGTATACAAGTCTGAAGCTGTTTCCTCTGCCTGTGAACTTCCTTTGACATCATCAGAAGTGGTGGCCTGATCCAATCACAATGCTTCCCCATAGGATTGGCTGAGACTGACAAGGAGGCAGATCAGGGGCAGAGCCTGCACAATTCAAACACAGCCCTGGCCAATCAGCATTTCCTCACAGAGATGAATTGAATCAATGATTCTCTATGAGGAAATTTCAGTGTCTGCATGCAGAGGGAGGAGATATTGAATGTTTGAATGCATTTTAGGCAGCCATGACCCAGGAAGAATCTCTTAACAGCCATCTGAGGAGTGGCCAGTGGAATGATCACTGGGCTGTAATGTAAACACTGCATTTTCTCTGAAAAGATAGTGTTTACAGCAAAAAGCCTGAAGGTAATGATTCTACACACCAGCACAAATTCAATGAGCTGTAGTTGTTCTGGTGACTATAGTGTCCCTTTAAGCTGATAGTTTTGCTTGTACAATACAATAGTATAATTATGTGAAACAAAACCAAACATTTTTCGGTTCTGCAAGAAAACAATATTTCTGCGACAAATTGCTTTGTAGCATCTTTTAATATGCTTAGTGGGCACAAGTTTATTAAAATTATGTGGACTGTCGGCAAGATTATCAACTACTTTAAATGTTGCATTATTGTATGTGCATAGTTTTAGGGAAGAGACCTTTTCTGTGTTAATTGCCACCACTAAACTTTTAGGCTATGTTCTTTAAAGAGGGCCTACAAAAAAAAAAAAAAAAAAATGGTTCTGTTAATTTTGTGACTAGCTGACTTCCAGTATAAGGTCTGTACATTACAGCCAAATCCTTTAGTACAATACATTCAAATTAAAACTGTAGTTTGGCAAGTGCCAGCAATGATGACGGAGTCTGCAGCGAGAAACTGTATTAGACTAGTTACCCAATGTGACCTCTGGGAGCTGCCTTGGTTTCAGTGCTGTTAAAGATTGCTCTCTAAGCATACACAAGGAGATAATATGGCACTCAGCACAGTCGGTCAGTAAGAAGGTCAAGAATGGACTGCTGTATATTTCTCAATAGTATTTTGTTAGACCTTTCACATGTTCTTATATATTGCCACTGCATTTTAATTTCTTGGAGGGACAAAGCGATTTTATAAAAACATACATATGGGTATATCACTAACCCTTTTTGATTATCTCTTACTGTGGTATTTAGATTATCACTTTATATAGTTCTGGTGAGTATAATGATTCCATTTAGGCCTTTTGCAGTAAACACTGTCTTTTCAGAGAAAAGGCAGTTTTTACATTAAAGCCTAGGGATAACTCCACTGGCCACTCCTCAGATAGCTACTAGAGGTGCTTCCTTGGGGCATTGCAGTGCCATTAAGTGTCTCCACCCACTGAACTTTCCTCATAGATATGCATTTATTCAATGTATCTTTATGAGGAGATGCTGATTGGCCAGGGCTGTGTTGGCTCTGCCCCTGATCTGCATCCTTGACAAGCGCAACCAATCCAATGCTTTCCTATGGGAAAGCATTGCTATTGGCTTTGATAAACATTTCTGATGATGCGAAGCAGGCAGATCGGGGCAGAGCCAGCAGCAGCAGACTGGGGTAAAAGTAAGATTTTTCACTACATTTAGGAGGGCGGGGGGAGGTTAGATTTTTTTTTTTTTTTAATAGTTCTGAGTTGTGTACAATCTACAATGAAAATATGTTTCATATGTGAAATCATTCATTCTTAGTACATTTCTTAAAGGAGCACTCCAAGCACCATAACAACTGTAGTGTGTTATAGGGATTATGTTGTGAGGAGTGCCCCAGCAATGTAAGTAGTCAAATCATATTAGAATATTTTGATTTGTTACCTGGGGTCTGCCAAGCACCACTCTTCCTTTTTGGAGAGCCGGAAACTCCTACTAGAAGTTTTCTTTAACTAAGACCCTGTTGTGGAAGTCCAGCTCATTGGCTGAGAGTGTCACCTGATTGTTTTTAGCCAATGAGCTAAGCCCTGCACACTCTGGGTTAGGCAGAGAAGCATTTGGCGGGCCCAAAGTAAGAGGTCAAATTATTACAAAACTGTTTGGCTGCTTACATTGAAGGGTGCCAATGCACTTCTGGCACTATAACTGCAACAGCATGCTGTGGTGGTTATGGTGCTTTGAGCTTTCTTTTAATCTGACTAAAAATTCTAAGGTTTGTCATAATTTGCTGTGAGTATATTCAGTCATCCTTTTATTATAATATACACAATTGGGGGTCTGGGGACCTAAATAGTTTAACACTATGTTGTCAAGAATACATGAATGTATTCCTGACACTATAATGTTCCTTTAAGTGATAGTGTTTTGTCTATTTTGTTTTAAAACATCGGGTGTGGATATAGACAAAGGTTTTAAGTGTGTGTATATGCATGTGTCTTTAACTAAGACTGACCACATTATGCCTTCATTACAAGCTTAGCTGGAAAGACTTTATATAATCACGTGTGCTGGAGGATATTAAGTCCCAGAAGTACTTGAGTGCTCCATAGAGTTTCATCATTAATAGGCCCCCCAAACAATGGAGAATAAAAATATCAGACAATGTGTGTGTGTATATATAATCTAAATTAATTTTATATGTATGTATGTGTAAAAAAACAGATAAAATTTGTATCTTGTAATGCCTGTTTTATGGGACTAACAGAATTTTTTTAATGACAAGCTTTCAGGAGAACCTCCCTTTCTCAAGTCTAATGCATTTCTGAGCATAACACATATAATTCAAAGTTGAGTTGTGATACAGGGGTTAAAGCGACATGAATGCAGATAAGACAAAAGTTTGATAGAGAATAGACACCATTGTTGCAGAGGGTCTTAAATATCTTGTGTGAAGGGGGGGAGAGAGGAAAAAAAGCAAGCACTGCAGAAGATGTTGCTAGAAGGGGAGAGTAAAAATATTAAAAATAATTACTTATATTAAGAATGCATGAATTTCCATCCAAGAGTACATGTATTCGGGCATTTGGTTGTATTTATATGTATATTGTTATATGTACTTGTGTATATGTACATATGTGTGTGCATGTCTGTGTATGCTGGATATAGGCCTTCATGCATATATTGTAACTCTTGGATGGGAATTCATACATTCTTAATATAAGTAATTATTTTTTTTTTATATTTTTACTCTCCCCGTCTAGCACCATCTTCTGCACTGCTTGCTTGTTTTTTGTTTTTTTTTTGGGTGGGGGGGATTTGTTTCTCTCCCTCCTCACTCCGTGATCGTCACACAAGATATTTAAGACCCTCTGCAACAATGGTGTCTATTCTCTATCAAACCTGTCTTATCTGCACTCATGTCGCTTTAACCCCTGTATCACAACTCAACTTTGAATCCTATGTGTCGTCTTGCTCAGAAATGCTTTAGACTTGAGAAAGGGAGGTTCTCCCGAAAGCTTATTAAAAAAAATTTAGTCCAATTAAAAAGGTATTACAAGATACAAATTTTATGTTTTTTACATCTGCATCACCGGACTAATACGGCTACAATCTCCCTCTCTATCTATCTATCTATCTATATTAAAAAAATAACATTCTCTGTATGCTGCCGGTCCATCATCTACCTCTTGGCATGACCAAGCCCTTTTCCAGATTTGAACACAATGGAAAGATGTACTCATTAAATCGCTTTTATGCAGGTATATTTTCTAGATTTACTATAGTAACCTGTTCCAAATTCACTTCAACTTGAGTCGTCACATGTTAAAGATGTGCTATCCAGTAAGTCCCAGCTGGCTTTGCTAGATCATTAATTATTCTAAATAACAACTGGGCGATTTCTAATCGCGTTATGGAAGCATCCTGTTACGGTTTTGAAAGTGTTTTGTTTGTTTGTTTCATCTGATGGTATAAATTGCCTTTATTCCAGATTATTTCTTTAGCACAGGGTATCAAATCATCTCTGAAAAGATTAAAGGATCACTATAGTTTCAGGAAAACATAGCGGTTTTCCTGACACTATAGTGCCCTCAGGGTCCCCCTCCCTTGGTGCTGAAGGGGTTTAAACCCCTTCAGCCACTTACCTTAATCCAGTGCCGGGATACCTCGGCGCTGGTGACCTCTTGTCCCTGTCTGACGTCACTGGAGCCGCATGCGCGGCAAGTGTCGCGCGCATTCAGAGTGTTCATAGGAAAGCATTTCTCAATGCATTCCTATGGATGCTCTGTGCAATGGAGGTGAAATACGTCACTTTAAACTTTTGGACCAAATTTTAAGTGGGGGTAGAGGAGGGGGTTGTCACCCTTCAGGAATTGTAATATTATGTTTAGTTATCCTTCGTGTATCTTTAAAAAAAAATATATATATATATATTTATTTATTTGGGGGGGAGGGGGGGGGGAGACTGTTCTTCTCTGTTCAATGGTGCTTGAAAGGAAGTTCAAAGTTCCTCTGGTCTGGCTTATTTCAAAGTAGTGATATGCTGTATTTCTAGGCCTCAAAAATATGCACCTGGAAATGCTGCAAAGGAAAATCTATATGTCTTTAGTGGTTTCAATGTACAGATTAAATCTTCTTCTACTTATGTTTATTTATTACTGGTATTTTTAAAGCGCCAACAAATTCCGCAGCGCTGTACAATTAATGGAGAACGTACAATATACACAGACAAATACAAGAGGTAGAGAGAGCCCTGCCCGTAAGCTGATATCTAGCCATTGGAGCTCCTTTTATACAAAGTGCTTAGCTAGATGGTCCGTAAGCTTACAATCTAAAGGATACAATGGGGATTTGAGACAAGAGGTAGCAGGGAAAGTTTGGAGGTGATGGCTGAAAGAGTTAACAGAGAAGTAGCTATTGGTAAAATACAAAGGGAATGAAGAGGTAATTGAGTGAGTGAGAATCTCAAACAGCTGGAGGAGCATGCTATATATTTAGGGGGAGCCTGGGTGGGTGGGGAGAAAAAAAAATGCAGTGCTTCACGGAGTTTGAGTGTGAAGTGAGGCCTGAAGAACAGAGGAGATTGAACAGTTATATGAAAGTATTTACAGCTGGGAGGAGAATAGGAAAGAGGGTGAGGCAGAGGAGGAGGGTAGAGTAGCCATGTGTTGGATACTATTAAAAAGTTTAGCAACCAAATTCTATCACCCAAAATATTAACTGTGTACATGAAATATTGGTCAGAAACATTAAATGGCAATAGTACAAACTGCATGCACAGAAAATTACAGTGGCAAACTACAGGTATCAATGGTAACAAATCTATAGTAACACATGAGAATATGATAGCAATCCAAGAATAAATGAGGTGGAGTATCTTACAAGATTCAGTCAGTACCTGAGAGTGGTAGGATTTTCTGCAGGATGTTAAATGCAGAGCTTCACTGAGTTTGAGTGTGAAGTGAGACCTGAGAGTGGTAGGATACACTCTATGGGGTGTTTGCTGCCCTGGCACTTAGAAGATTAGTAGGTACTTTGAAAAAAAGAGAATAGTCTGTGAATGCAGTCTGCTTACTGTAGTGGTATAGTGCTTGAAGTGTTTCTTTACAGATGTTAGTTTGTGAAATAACCTTGTCCAGGCTAGTGCTTGAGTATTTGATTATCTAAAGTCTCCCAATGCTGGTACCTTTTTAGACTGGAACAGTCTAGTTCATGTTGGCATGATCATTCTAGACTTGGAGTCTGCACCAAGTGGCGGCCTGCCAACCTTCGAAATTAAGACATTAGGGACACTCTGGCATTTCTCACCACAGGCGGGCACTCCTTTTGCACTGCAGATATTTGTGTATGGTTTTTGCCAGGATATTCCTACAGTAATCTGGCTGGCTGAGCATCTTGGGAAATGTTCTTCTGCCTACAGCTGTAGTGCCCGCCGTTTGCAGATACTAGCACAGCTCCTGTCTCTTTCAACCATTGCTCTGTTATCTTTGCTTCTGCTACAAGTCATGACATAACCAGTGCGACTGAGATGTTCTCCTTCCTGGTTCTATGTGAAAGAGCTTGTTTGTCACAAGGTTGGCGTGGAAAGCCAGGATTAAAACAAAGTCTGCTTTATTGTATAGCTTCAATCAAAGATCTGAATTGCATTGGCTTTCATTAGATTCAGGTGGTGGCAATTTTGGTATAGGAGTCAACAAATGTCGGAAAATTTGGAGTCACTGATTTTTTTTTTTTGATTTTTTTTTAGATTCTTTTTTTAAAATTTCTCTAAGCTAAGGAAGGTTAAACATAAAATTTGGGTGTCCGCAGTATCCTCTTTAGGGCACTGACTTTTAGAATTTGTTGAGCAATCTTTAAAACCTACTCATAACACTTAAAAGGATGTGTAGCAGGTGAAAGGCACATTCTGTTGGATTCAATCACAAAAATGGGCTTTGAGTCTGATCACATCAGAATACATGCTCTATCGTTTTACTACTAAGATTAGAAAAGCTGTGAGTCCCTCTGTTAAAGTTTATATTTTGTCCTAATTGTCGTTAATTGCAAATCAAAGATTTTGACCCCAAAACTAACACTTTTGTAACTTTCTGAATAGACTGTATACACACTTCGTTTAAGATAGCTGATTTGTTTTTGTCTTTTTTGTTTCTTTTACTCCATATAACTCACAACCTGAAAACCAATATAAAGATCCTCCAAATTAAAGGAATAATGAAATCCAGTATGGGTACTTCAAACAGCAGCAATATTTTTGCCTACTTACAGTTGTAAAAATAAAACTGAGTAGCACAAACCCAATGAACTTTTCTTTGTATTTATAAAGAGCAAAAAAACATGCATGAACCAGACAGTCTTGTTTGCAAATGATAAGGCGTGGAGTTGCCACAGATACGTGTGGAACGTTTCTGTGGGATAAGTGTTTTGCGTAAGAAAGGTTTACTCATTCTTGTGATTTGTATCTGACCAGCTATTTCCTGCCTTCATGGCAATCTATCAAGCCAAGTCATGCCTGTGGGTAGGGTATTTCCCATCTATATGGTGGTTAGAGATCATGTTCTGTATACAGTCTGCATACTCTGCAACCAAATGGATATCTGACCTGCAACACCAGGATAGGTTACACATTGAACATTTATGTAGACAAGGCAACATTTCGACCACCCGCTGGGTGTTTACCAAACTTTATTCCCAAAGTCCACTGTTGCTCCATGGATTATCAGTTAACTTCTTCACTAACGAGTGGTTTGCATAAATAAACCAGAATGCTTATTTTGGGTATCCTGGAAAGTAATGTTTAAATGTATTTTTTAGTTTCAGTATGCCAAAAATAGCACATTATTTAATGGAAGCAAAAATTTAAAAAATTAGCACAGAAACAGTGTTAGAAATAATTCACGAAAATGGAGTTAAAGATGAAACAATTTAGTATAATATGTTGCATACGTTGCCAATATCATATCACACTCATGTATATACACACTTTGTTACATGCACACATACATACTCACTGATACAATTGCCAGAAAGAATAACACATGGATATTCAGTGACACATACAGACCCACATTCTCAGGCACACACAGTGTCAGAAACACTAATGCAAAAACACTCAAACACCAAAATACACAGTCACGCAAACATTTACTTTAGGGGTGTAGTGGTGATAGTGTGCTGCTGTAGCCTCAGACAGTCTCAGCACTTACTGATTCCCTTCCGCATTATGTGAAGTGTAGCTTCACATAGTAATGAAGGTGAGAAATCTGTCTGACTGCCAGTCTCTCGGCACACTTAATGCTCTAACCCTGCTAGCCCTCTCAGGTTACCTTCTTATCTGGGAGGCAGGATGGTTGGCATCCCCATATCAGCCACACTCCAATTGCCTCCCTCTGGGAGGGTGGTGATGGTCTCTCTGCTCTGCCAGTAGCTCCAGCAGTCTCACATGTTGTGTTCATGGAGAACCACTGCAGGATGTGATATCTCCTGTCATTGCTGTCAATGAATACAGGAGAGTGAAGAACAGGCTGCAGCCCTCTCCCCTACACCCATGCCCCCACTCTGTGCTGTAGAATTGCCATAATGGTTTGATCTCCGACAAGAACTAATTTCTGACCCTATAGTGTACTCGTTTTCCTGGCACTATAGTGCCCTGAGGGTGCCCCCACCCTCAGGGACCCCCTCCCGCCCGGCTCTGGAAAGGGGAAAGGGGTAATAACTTACCTTTTTCCAGCGCTGGGCGGAGAGCTCTCCTCCTCTCCGCCTCCGTTACCCCGCCGGCTGAATGCGCACGCGCGGCAAGAGCTGCGCGCGCATTCAGCCGGTCTCATAGGAAAGCATTTACAATGCTTTCCTATGGACGCTGCGTGCTCTCACTGTGATTTTCACAGTGAGAAGCACGCAAGCGCCTCTAGTGGCTGTCAATGAGACAGCCACTAGAGGATTAGGGGGAAGGCTTAACCCATTCATAATTATAGCAGTTTCTCTGAAACTGCTATAATTATGAAAAAAGGTTAACCCTAGAAGGACCTGGCACCCAGACCACTTCATTGCTGAAGTGGTCTGGGTGCTAAATGGTCCTTTAATGAAGTGATCTGGGTGCCAGGTCCAGCTAGGGTTAATTTTTTTTTATAAACATAGCAGTTTCAGAGAAACTGCTATGTTTATATTAGGGTTAATCCAGCCTCTAGTGGCTGTCTCATTGACAGCCGCTAGAGGGCTTCCGCGCTTCTCACTGTGATTGCCAGTGTCCATAGGAAAGCATTGTGGACTTGCTCAATGCGCGCGCAGCTCCTGCCGCACTTGCGCATTCAGCCTAAGAGGAGGAGAGAAGGAGAGCTCCCCGTCCGGCGCTGGAGAAAGAGGTAAGTTTAACCCCTTCCTCTCAATCCAGCCCGGCGGGAGGAGGTCCCTGAGGGTGGGGGCACCCTCAGGGAACTATAGTGCCAGGAAAACAAGTGTTTTCTTGGCACTATAGTGGTCCTTTAAAACGCAGTAATGTGACGCGGAAGCAGTTATTTTGTTGTTTGGCTGCTAGACGTGGTAATAAAGAATTAATAATTAATACATGTGCCAGAACATAGAAATATATGGAATGCAAATATCCACCCCAGGCATAGAATGTTTTTTTTTTTTTTATGTTATGTTATAATTTGGTTACAAATTACAGAACATAATCCATAACCTATTGTGAATTGTGTGGAATGAGTAATATTCTACATGTACATTTTTATCCAAATGTGTTGATGTAGAAAAAAAAAGCCCCCCCTTTTTAAATGCATTCAGATTTAAAGTAGGCCCTTGCACACATACAGTGCTTCACATTGCAAAAATGTGACGTTGCAGCATTGTTTCATAGAGGTCAGTGCAGCAGAAGCACCTCTAGTGGCTGCCTGGTAGACTGCCACTACAGGTTTGTTTAACCATGGAATATAAAATGCATTGTTTTATATTGCAAAGTTAAAATGACAGGCCCACTACACCCAAACCACTTCATTGAGGTGAAGTGGTCTGGATGACTTTAGTGTTTGTTTAAGGAATGTGACCTTTAATTCAGAGCACTATAGAATGCCTCAACATTTGAGAACGTATTCCACTACTATGATAAGCAATATTAATCTTGTAAATGTATAGCATACACTAAGTGCTTTTACTTGCCTTAATCCAAAAATGCACTATACTCTCCATTTGTATGTGTGGGATTTTAAATTGTGCGTGCAATACCCTAATGGCATGTTTCTCCTTCCTGAAATACAATTGTCTAACTTGCACTTGCCAATTTCCTTATTGTGTATAGCTACATTTTAGATGACATTATATTGCATTTTAAAGTATTTTGATCACATCTGTGTCACTGTATTATAGCTATGTTTTTCTTTTTGTGAAAACTGTACTATGTAATCAACACTCAAGCAATTTGCCAAGTTCCTTTATCAGCTAAATTTGTGGATCTTAACGTGCATATTTCACAAATACCTTTAATTTAGAATGTAAGAAAATGTCATTATTTTTTTGGGGGGGTTTAGTTTGTAGAGAAGTAATCAATTGATGAAACTAACTTGTACGTATTACTACCCAGGGGATCTGAAGTCTGAACAGCTTTTTCAGAGACACATTATTTAAGTGTTTAATATTTCTGCTTCATGTCACATTATCAAGTCAAGGAATTAGGATTAAACTTGTCCCATTGTGAGTATACTGCCAAGCAGGTTCATCACTGAATCCGTATTGGTACCCAGCCATGCAGAATGATAAGAATGCCTCCTATGCATTTCTATTTCTTAAAGGATGACTGACCACACAGCAAGTGAAGGAATCACATACTCACCCCCCCCCCCCCATTTATAAATTATAATAATAATTCATGCCTTTAAATATGGAGTAGTATACATTGTAAAGAAACACTATAGCTTTATGAACACTAGTCTGTATTCCTAACACGATAGTGCCGTTTATATTTAGGGACCCTTTTTGCAAACTACAAATTGTTTTTTAAAAAAAAGCTTTTAACTTGCAATTTTCCAGCACTAAGGTTCCTTCAGTACTGCTGACTCTCAGAATGTCCAATCCGGTGTTCCTTATAGAGATACAATGGGGATGGGGTGTGCAGTAAGTGCATTATTTATATATCTATTTATTTCCACTTTCTTAATTAAAGGACCACTATAGTGCCATGAAAAATATATATTTATTTAACACAAACGATAATAAATATATTCAACTATGACAGGTGCATTCTGTGCTGAAATATATTACCATAGAGCTCTTCAAAGATTTTAGGTTGAATGAAGATATGTGGAATGGTGGTTTTTAATAGTTTGTACTTAGGTACCACTGAAAATATGATATACAGGTATTGAAAAAAAAAAAAAACCTTTTAAATCAGTCTCCAGTGGCTATCTCTTGACAGCCGCTAGAGGCGCTTGCGTGCTTCTCACTGAGATTTTCCCAGTGAGAAGACGCCAGCGTCCTATGAGACTGGCTGAATGCGCCCACAGCTCAGCCGAATAGGAGGAGAGGAGGCGAGGAGAGCTCCCCACCTGGCGATGGAGAAAGAGGTAAGTTTAACCCCTTCCTCTCCATCGAGCCTGGCGGGAGGGGGTCCCTGAGGGTGACTACATCCACCATAATGCTCTTACACCCATAATGCTGGCAAAGCATCATGGGAGGTGTCTTCCAAAACATCTGGAGTGCCGAAGGTTGCCTATGCCTGGACTATTTGATATTTTACTGATTCATTTAAAGGTTCTTTTCTTTTTTTTTTCTTTTCTTTTTTTTTTTTTCTTCAATGCCTGTATATCATATTTTCAGTGGTACCTAAGTACAAACTATTAAAAACCACTGCAATGATAAAACCATTCCACATATCTTCATTCAACCTAAAATCTTTGAAGAGCTCTATGGTAATATATTTCAGCACAGAATGCACCTGTCATAGTTGAATATATTTATCGTTTGTGTTAAAAATATATATATATATATATATATATATATATATATATATATATATAAAAAATTTCACTCCCTTCCCTCAGCTGTTCAGTCAATGGGTTGAGCTGTCTGTTCCGGGATCCGGGCATTCATCTCAGAAACAGAGGTAATTCCCCCCGGTCATACATGGAATGGACTGCCTCTGTAGTGAGTGTATTCACTGTTGCTGGGGCAACCACAATGCTCCTAAGTGATTGGGTGCCCGACGTCTGTTTGTGGGAACTGCTGGGACTCCCAGAAATAGCCGGCGGGCACCCAATCACTTAGGAGCATTGTGGTTACATCAAACATATTTTAGACTTTTAACAAAAGTAGTAATCACATTTCTTTCCTTTTTCTTTTCACTCCCTTCTTTTAGATTGTCCTTCTTTCTACAGCTTTATACATACTGTAACCATAGCAAATAAAAAAACATAGAAAAACAAAGTGAAATCTTTACCTCTCCCTTCCCCATTCCTTTTTTTGGTAGGATTTGGGTCTTTGATAAATTGTTATTAAAGGTTATAACTATGGTGGTCCGTTTACTTTCACTTGGATGCTGTAAGTGACCGCTTTAATAAGCAGTTTTATACGGTCTCTGCTTCTGGTATGATGTGCCCTGTATGCAGTTGTATAGTAATTAAATTTTTTGAAGCAGCAACATATTCTGCCATAATAAAAAACCTGGGTATCACTGGGCATGAATGTACCTAAAGTGTAGGTTTATTTGTGTAGTGACAGCTACTTTTTTTGCACTGCAGCTTTGGTGGGTTATATTTTCTAACCAAGAGCACACCTTCCATAATTGGGAAAATTAAACAGTGAGAGAGGGGCAAGCAAAAAAAAAAAAAAAGATTTTGTGAACAGAGCCCTAAAAGCAAGATTTTATCACACACACTTTTTTTCTTTTTTTTTTGTGACCCTAAAAGACTGAAGACTGGGTCAGGACTAAATTCCCGCTACATCGGGACCCTTGGAATTCATGCAGAACTGAAGCAGAATTCCAAAGTAACTGCTGCCTTCCCAGTCAGAAATCTTCAAATTTGATTTCCAATTGTGTGTGGTGTCACATAGCTAGGGCCATGTTTATTTAAACCTCGCTATACCATTACTTTTTTATTTTTGCAAATTTTTTTTTTTTTTTCTCCCCTCTCCTAAATTGTGCAGTTTGCTCTTTAGCAGTTTATTGTGGCAGATCTTTAGTTTAGTACACTGTTAGATGCATGTGGAAGTTTATTTTTTATTTTATTCTTTTTTAAAAATACTAGGGAAACAATGCAGAGAGGAGACATCTTGTGCAATGAAAGGACTTGTTTGAAATCTGTTTTTAGCCTTTGCTTCTGAATGGAGGCCCTCAGGAATGTGTCTTGGCAAGTGAAATTACCACCCTGAAAGATCTGGTATGATGTACACGCCACGGCCTGTTGTCGGCAGCGTAGATTGTGGAATATTTAGTCTTAATCACTGCCTACTACTTTGACTTTTTATTGACCATGTGTACATATCAAGTGGAATATAAAAGCAAAGAATAAAATGTAATGGCTTCAGGAACTAATACATTAACAAGAACAGTGCGTGTTTAATTTCTATACCACTATACATATTTGATCATAACATAAAATGGCAGGAATCATTCCCTTGTTGCCATGGCAGCCTATGGGTTATAATTTCACTGTAACAAGGCAAACAAGGTAGATAGTTTACATTGAAATATGTTTAGGGAGAAAAGCAGTAAACTTAGTGAAAGTTCAGTGCTTTGTATTGCTGCTTTTTTATTTCAATTTAAATCATATCTAAGTAAATACATGAGACTTCTTCCCTCATTTGTCTATTATTTACATATACATTGTATATTGAGGGGATATGACTTAATATAAAATATAACATTTGTTTCCTAATTACATTTTCCTTTTAAATAGCAGTCACTTGTGGGTAAAGCTAACATTGTGAAATATGTTCAGTTGTTTCATCTTAGCTGGTATACATCCCATAGACTTCCTGTATACACAACTAGTTACAATGTGTATTCGTATTAGTGCTTTTGTACTAAGGTACTATTGTACTACTTAAGCAACGAAATAGACTCCAATGGTATATAGAGGACCAGAACCCAGCAAGAATAGCTGTAAAGAGCTTAATATAGTCCTGCTTAAATTGAATTTATTTTAGAAGTAGCCCAACTTTCATCAGTTGTGTGACTTCTTTGCTGAATATCTTTTTAGAGGTACTTCAGGATATCTATAATAGCAAAGTGTACTTATAGCTAGTCTAGACCTGCAATTTTTAAAAAGTACTTTGCTGCCCCGGTATGGCCATTATTGTCACCATTTTTATTACTGCAATCCTACGAAATCCCCATGGCCAGCCTTGGAAAATTTCACTCACTAAACCATGAACCAGGCTATGGGTACGCACTTTAGCAGTTACAGTATGTGTCCAAAATACTTCTCACCCCAATCCCTGCTGTGCACTCATTTATGGGATCAAGCCAAGGGAAGTTTTAAAGGGGAGTATTTATTTTAAATACTTCTTTCTGGCATGATTTTATGAGTTCTTTGTATGCATAGTTTCCCATTAATGATCAGTTTGGTTTTTTTGCTATAAAGAGCTGGACTTTCTAGATACTTATAGAAAAGAGTACTGCTCATCTGTGTGTTTCTCTCTGCTTCACTGAGCAGCTTGCTGGGTTTTACAGAAACAGAAAACAGATGTAAAGGCGTTTATGCTCACTGTGTAGTATGTTATCAGTTTACTTACTATTTACAGACGGGAGTAATGTTTGCTTATGAAAATCTGGACAGCCACATGTTGTTGACACATTTTGTTAGTATTTTAAGTATGAAATGTCTTATTGTGGGTTAATTGACATTTTAGTTTTTATTTTTATTTTCCATTTGACAGTCTTGATTTTAATATTTGTCTTAACATCTCTTTACTTTTTATTTTCCATTTATATTTTGGTATTTTAGAGATCTTCTGAAGCTAGTATGGTTTTTAATGTATGTGTATATTTTATTTATAAAATATTTTACCAGGAAAGATACATTGAGATTTCTCTCATTTCAAGTATGTCCTGGGCCTTTTGCCAATTTTGTTTGTTTTGTGCATATATTTCGCCATTGTCTATATGCACAGTGATCATTCATACCAAAGACCTGTGAACACCAACCATGACAACCCATAAGCATCAGATAGGGAAGAGAGCCTTGATAAAGTCTCTATAGACGAGCCAAAATGTTGCTACACCTGGTTTGTTGGTTATCACCACTGTAGGCTAATGTGTTCTCATGCCCTCTGTATCCACTAGTAAAGCCTGTTCTCCAGGTACCCCTACCAGTGCATATCATTGATGTAAAGGGTTACTGCAAGCACCATAACCACCTCAGTGTGCAATGATCCTGTATGTGCAGATTTTCAGTATACAGAGATATTTAATATTGCTGCTGGACTTGTAATTCCATGACTGAGCTTTCTGTGCTTGCTAATGTTTAATTGTCTGCATATTCTACACTAAGGCACCCAACTGATGCTATTAGCAAGTGAATGAAGAGCAGAAGGAGCATCCGGCTTCTGCAGCTCTGTACTAAACCTTTAACGTACCTGTGTTGAAGCTGTGAGAGCTTGAATGTTTGGCCGCATAGTCGATCTGCTATTGTATTATAAATAGCATCATAACCACTATAGTCTGTTGTGGTTATGGTGCTTTGAGTGCTCTAACACCTTCCCATAGTAATTTGGCAAACTGTTTAAGAAAGGTTTGACAACTTTCCTGGGTCCCACCAGGCACATTTATCAGCAGCAATCCAGTTTCTAACTTGCAAGAATGTCCAGTGGCCTCACACTGGACAAGAGGGTCGACTGAGCGGACTCTGTCAATGAGTGAGGTCCTGTATTGAACCTGTTTCGCTCAGGGGAGACATCTGTTATTTGCTGTAGAACACTGCATGTGGTGTAGGCCCTCAGAGGACTTAAGTAAAGTTGACTGACTATTCAAAACCATTTTGACAAATAACTTTGTGAAGCTGCAAAAGGCTATATTGGTTATGGTGCTTCTATTATTTCTTTAAGTTGTACATGAAGTGTTTTTACTGCTATAGCAGTTACATCAACTGAAATACAGCACTACTAAATGTTCATCCAAGTATTTGCTGACGTTAGCTTCATTAAACAAAATGGTCTTTATTTCTTTTTTGCCACCTTCTGTTCTTACATGGATTGTTCTGGAAGTCAATATTTTGTGGGTGTTTTTTTTTATTTTTTATTTTTTTATTCTAGAACTAAATAATCTATTTTTCATTCTCATTGTGCATCATCTTCTCTTGGAATTATTTACTAGCATGAGTTAGTCCTGGCTTCGACACCACAAGAAGATCCACTTAGGAGCAGCACACTTTAGGAGCATTTTAACCCCTTAAGGACCAAACTTCTGGAATAAAAGGGAATCATGACATGTCACACATGTCATGTGTCCTTAAGGGGTTAATGTGATTTCCTTTCTGGCACAATTGAGATCCCTTTCACTAAAACTATAATTCTTGTTGGAATCCGCCACCGACCTAGCTCTCCGGTGCAGTGTCTTTCTGACATAGCCCAACTACTAGGTGAAACAGTAGCTCAAAACCAAAAAAGTGAACTGTTGGTTTTTGGAGACTTTAATATTGATTGGCTAAATTCTAAAAATAATCATGCACACTGTTTAAGACTTTGCAGCTAACACCATTAATTTCCTCCCCAAGTCGCATTAATATTAAAAGTCAGAACCATACCTTGCTTGATTGGATTCTCTCCGGCTGTCCTGACAGTATCCAGGAGGCGGGCGTTCTCCCTAACCATTTCAGTGACCACGGTCTAGTGTACTTCATACGCAAAATAAAGGCCACTAATTCCCCTCTCAATATTATAATCACCAGGTCTTTCAAAACATTTAATCTGGAAGCCTTTTTAAACGATCTCAAGAACGTACCATTGCACAGATTAGGTCTAATACCAGATCTAGACTCTGCAATTGGATTTTTCAGTCCGAGCTCTTGCTTGTTTGGAATTTGCATGCCCCTCTGCGTAAAGTGCAACTAAAAGGGGCACACCTGCCCTGGGTTACAGCTGACCTCATTCAAATGTACCAGTTTAGAAATTCACTGTTGTCAAAGTTCAAGCGTACTGGCTCCATGAACAATCACTGTACTTACAGACAATGGTGAAATGCATGCACAAAACAAACAAAAATGGCAAAGGCCCAATATTTCAGTGAAAATTTGAACAACCTATCAAACCCAAGAAACTTCTTGAAAATTATAAATCGCATACTAACTCCCACAATCCACTCCCAACCTGCCTAACGTCTGCAAATCCTCACCTGTACATGTATGCAGACGACACTTTAATCTACACTAGTAAACCCAAGCTACCGCAGCTTGAGGCTGTGCGCCAAAATCAATTCAGAGGTAGAAAAGTGGATAACGGATAACAAACTCTTCCTAAACACTGACAAAACCGTTACAATGATCTTTGGAACTGTACCTATATTACGTAAACTACAAAATCAACAATTGTGTATCAGAACAAATTCAAACGGCACACTGACAGCAGTCTGCTCTTTTAAATATCTAGATATGTTGCTAGACCTTAATCTATCCTTTGTCCTTCACATTGAAAAATCTCTTCAAAACGTTGCCCAAAACTAGGTGCCCTGTACAGCTACAAATCCTGCCTAAGCCCTACAGTTAGGAAACAGTGCAACAAATGCTAATGCCGGTTGTTGATTATGGGGATGTAGTGTATGAGCCCGCACCGCAAACCCACCTTAATAAACTTAATACGTTCTATAATTCTGCTGCTTTGTACTAGAATGTAATTACTTTACCCACCACTGTGACATGTTAAAAGAGCTAAACTGGCTGTCGCTGGAATACCAACACACTCCTTTCCAGCCTTGTGCATAAGAGCATTTCTAGGAAGCTCCCACCGTACCTGAGTAGAATGCTCTCCCCGGCTGTTCCCACCTCCTATAACCTCCGATCCAGTACTAGCACGATATTTAGCACACCGCAATATAAAAATAAAGTGGCTCGATCCTCCTTTTCCTACAGAGCACCTCAATTATGGAATAACCTCAGGGACACAGTCAAATCTTCATTCAATCTAAAATCTTCTAAGAGATCTATGGCAATATACCTCAATACAGAATGCACCTGTCATGGTTGAATGTATTTATTATTTATGTATTACATTTATATAAGTGTATATATATTTATAGTTTGTATATTGTATTTTTGTAATATAATATCCTATTGTAACAATGCAATGTTTTGTGGACCCAGGACATACTTGAAAACGAGAGAAATCTCAATGTATCCATCCTGGTAAAATATTTTATAAGTAAATAAATATGTTGATACATACGCTAGGATATCAAGGGCATTTCCTATAAACTTTTCCGACTTTAAATTGGCTGTCTGTTTTGTGAAAGTAAGAGGAGTTATTTAAGTAAATGATTATGCATGTTGTATTATTGTTTTATTTTAAAACTGTTATTCACTTGCTGCTCTTATTTCCAGCAACCCTCCCCTAAGTGAGGAAATGCTGCCCCCAGGAGAGTGGATGTGTCATCGCTGCACCATACGCAGAAAGGTAAGGCAGTTCAATTTATAACTTTATATATAAATATATTTTATTTTAATTTTTTTAAATGTATGCACTTAATAAGCAAACATGTACAACTATAGAAACTAGAAAGTTTAGAGGGTTGGGTTTTTTTTGGGTTGGAGGGGAGGAGATTAAGATTAATTAAAATCTCATTTAATATTGTCTCTTTCCATGACCTAGCAGCAGACACCTGACTCTTTAGTGAGGTATATTGGCCCATATGTTCCATATTGGGGTTGAAGCAATTCTTGGTTTTGGAAATAGAATCCCTTTCACTTTTTTATTTTATTTTTTTTTAATTCTTTATTTTTGTTGTGCAAATAGTGACATAGACGCTTGTTGCGCCACAACAGCAGGACAAGTGAAAAAAACACAGTATAAGATTATAAAATGGCATACAGGGCAATTGCACACATTTTATAGTTATGTAGTTCTAGCAGGCAAGCTGAGTACTGTAAATTAAGTGTATAACAAGCCTAAAAAACACGTCAGAGACTGAGTATTAAACGCATAGTAGATTATTAAGATAGTTATGTCAATACTAAAAAAAAACTAGTAGACATGCCTTAATTCACGAGATATGTCTAGCATATACATCGCTATGGACTACTCCTGGGATTAAAACAAACTAAAACTTTAACTGTTTTGGTGCTTATGTTTCAGGTGATAATACTAGAAAAGTAAATGAGTTAAAACATTATGCTAGATGTAGTTGACCAGAGGGTTTTCACTGCAGCATCATTGGGAATTAATTGCTATCTATGTGTAGAGGTAAAAAGAATCAGGCTGTATGAATCAAACTGTGCTAGTATATTCCTGTGTAGATATAAGGGCAAAGCTTAAAGGATCACTATAGTGTCAGGAAAATACACTTGTTTTCCTGACACTAGATCATCCTTAGGACCCCCCACCCTCAGGGTCCCCCTCCCTTGGCGATAAAGGGGTTAAAACCCCCTTCAGTTACTTACCTTAATCCAGCGCTGGGCTCCCTTACCTCTCCTCGCCTGCCGCCGTCAGCTCCCTCGTCTGACATCAGCGGAGGAATGCGCATGCGCGGCAAAGCCGCTCGCATTCAAAGTGTCCATAGGAAAGCATTTTTCAATGCTTTCCTATGGACGTTCTGCACGCTGGATGTGATTTTTCGCATCCACCGTTGCAGAAGCGACTGTCAGGAAGATAGCCACTTGAGGTTGGATTAACCCTGTAATGTAAACATAGCTGTTTCTATAAAAATGCTATGTTTACATCTAAAGGGTTAAAACCTGGGGGACCTGGCACCCAGACCACTTCATTTAGCTGAAGTGGTCTGGGTGACTATAGTGTCCCTTTAAAACAGAGAGAGCCTTCTAATCATGACAGAATAACGTGATGTATAAAATTAAACAAGACATATCCTAAGCATAAGTAATGAAAATAATACAGCACTACGGAATGTGATGGCGCTATATAAATAATAAAGTTTAAAAATTTTTTTTTACAATGGAGACTCGGTAGTTAAGCCCCGCAGACCTCTGGGCACAGCGCTTTGTGGGGGGAAGAGGGGAGGAGAGAAAGGAGCCTGTGAAGAGTGTAACAGGGCTGCTGTGCGGCTGCTGGATTTATGAACAGGGCAGCGGCTGTCCACCCTCCTTCTCTACCTTTCATGCCGCAGGTTTCAAAGTTTCGTATAGCCCTCAGGGTCCTCAAAACTCCCGATCAGTAGCTCCAACAGCTCCCTGCTCACTTTGCTGTATTTCTAGGCTGAAATGAGAGCAGTGTGTCATAGTTTTCAGCCAAAATGGCAGATTTTGCAAGAGCCTCTCCTGCATGCTACCAGTCAGCATGGTGGTCAGGCCCTGTGCCCTTTCAAAATTATGTTTTGGAACACCCCGAGCTGTCTCACAGATATACACGATATTGGTCACTTGTAGGTACATATTGGCACCACCCTGCATAAGGAACTGGGAAGAAGACCTAGACGAGACCATGTCGGAAGCGGACTGGGACAAGTGCATCACCCTAATACAAAAAACTCCCTAATGCAAGAAAACTCCTACAAGATATTCACCAGATGGTATCTGACACCGACAGCACTCCACGTCAGGAACCCAGATATACCAGACACCTGCTGGAGATGCGGGGAGGAAACAGGCACGTTTCTACATATCTGGTGGGCATGTGCACGGCTCCGGCCCTTCTGGGACACAATTAGGGATATAATACACGAAGTAACAGACGAGACACTCCCGGGGTCCCCGGCCGCCTTTCTCCTCCACCACACCAACATGACCGCGGTGGCTGAACGCAGCCAAAACAATCATCCCCATCTACTGGAAGCAGGTGAACGCACCTCCGATAACACGATGGCTAGAAGAGGTGGAAACCACTAGGAAATTCGAAGATATAATGGCAAACACTCCGAAACATAGAGACCGATACACCAAACGCTGGTTTCACTGGATACGATTAACCGCATCAAACGACTTCCAACGCCGCCTGGCCACACAGTAACCAGGAATGATGAGACGGAGGAGGCTGCGGTTGGGAACGGGGCGGGAGGCAGAGAACGGTGGCGGGCGGCGGCGGCAGGGGACGGACACACTCATACCCCCCAACGCTCTCTCCCCCCCCCCCCCCCCATGTCAACCCCCAGTCAAACCCATGAACACACCTCGAAAGACACACAGTAGCAAAATGAAACCGAAAGGCCTTAACCAGCCACTCCCACATAACGAGACTGACCGACAACAATACCAGCATGAAGCAACCCTACATAGTGCCACAAGAAACTCAACCCTCAATACACCAATGGACGGTCAAGACACAGAGGGGGGCAACACCGCAGACAGCACAGAAAGGAAAAACACCCATAAGAGACACGGAACCAAGAGTTGGCCACGCCACGGGCACACACACCCAACCGAAGCCCGTAAAACCAGACACAACGGGGAACACCCGTTAGAACACATACAGTGACAAACGCAGGGCACACCTAGGCGCACACGACCAGGAAACACCAAACTGCATAAAGCAACAGATATTCAGACGCACAGGTAGCATGCAAGCACAGGCACCAGAACAAATAGAATAAGATTAGGCAGAAACACTCACAACAATATGCACAGGTGCAACGGTAATATAGCAACACTGCAAGCCATACAGATGTAAAATGCGAGTAACAAATTGTGAATATATCTGCTGTATTGTGCACGCAATGACCATCCAGCCTCTATGTAAGGTGACGGAACCCAAACAAATGTATGTAATGCAACCTGGCGCCCCTGCGTGGGCAACCTTTACCTCACTACTCACGAAGATGCTACCTACACGGGTGATATGACAACACTAAAAATATTCAAAACAAACCCACTAACACAAAGAAACTACATGAACCAGCCAACACAAGACAATTACACGAACATACTCCTCCACCTCCTTTAGTGTATCGATACACCAAGATGCATATTAGCAGACCATATGCCTCTAATCGACACTAACTCAGTTGTACACATATGACAATAACGCTAACACACAGCAACACCAAACTTGTTTAACGAAAGTGATCTAATTCTGCAGAACATAAGTACTCTTAAATTTTGTCATGACATGGTTACTTTGAATTGTCCATGCACCGAAAACAACGCCTCTGCGTAGGCGATTATCCGCTTAACCACAAATATGTTTGCAATGGAATTTGTTATGAACCAATAAACATATTCAAAACAAAATTATGTTTTGGATTACAAAAGATACAAATGCACAAACAATATTGTTACTGCACTCCTCTGCATAGACTTTAGACTTGCACCTGTCATGCCTCAAACAATTTATACTCATTAGATTAAGTTTAAGATTTTATCTATTCATTGTGCTAGCAGTTTTGTTTTCAAATGTATAAATAAGGAGATAAAAACTATTAAAAAAAAAAAAAAGTGTGTGTGTGTGTATGTATGTATATGTGTGTGTGTGTGTGTGTGTGTGTATATATATATATATATATATATATATATATATATATATATATATATATATATATATATATATATATATATATATATATATATATATATATGGTTTTTCTCCTAGCTGTCAGTCAATGCCTCAACGTGCCACGGCATTGACTGACAAGCAAGAGCAGAAAAAAAAATCACACAGGCGGTCCCTCTGCTTTTCTCCCATGCGCTGCGGTTGCTATGGAAACTGTAGCTAGGGAGTATAGGAATGGAGTGCCGTGATGTCAATCTGTTGCGATGCTGGCAACTGACAAAATTTGCCCTGCTCAGGGATCCGTCCCAAGCAGAGCAAATCAAAGAAGAACAGAGGTGGAGAGCAGGCGCAGCAGAGCGCAGCCTGGAGGTTCTTGTTACACGAGGAGTAACACCGGTGAAACGGCGCTGGAATGAGAGGAAATGTGAGTAAAGCTTTATATTTTACATTGAATGCACCATGAATTTTTTTTTGCATTACTGCTTCACTTTAAGATTCGGTATTTCTGAGTGAGTATTTAATAGTGGAAAAGCTGAAATTTACTAATTACATATATATATATTCAATTCAAACCCCTGTTACTAATTAGTCGTCACCTTTTGCTGTAATAATGAAGTGTCTTTGAATAATTATCTAAAGCTTTGCACAATGGCTTTGGGCAGATTTTCTCCCGATGGTCCAGTTTGATTGAGTTGTGCTTGTGGACTGCAATTTTCTAATGGTGCCAGAGGTATTTATTAGGATTGATATTCAGGTCTTTGACTTGGCTGCATTTTTCCATTCTACCTTAATTTTCACAAGTATACCAGGCCCTGCTAATTATTATTTTTATTATTTATATAGCACCATTTAATAAAAAGGTCCCCTCGCCATTGAAGCCTTCCTACCATACATCACTGTAGGGATAGTGTTTATTTAGGTATGGGCACTGCTTTGTGTGAGCCACATAAAGCAGTTGAAATTATGGTTAAAAAGCTCTATCTTGGTCACATCTGCCTAACTAATCTTTTCCTGTATCATAGTTTTTCTGTATGTGCCTTTGTTTGCAAACTCCAGATGATTTTGAGTAATGGCTTCTTTCTTGCCACACTCTGGTACAGGCTAGTTTGAAGCAGAGCTCTTGAAACTGTTGACTTGTGTTTTTACTGCAGCCTTAGCCACTGACCTCTGTAGCTCCTGTAGAATGATCTATGGCCTCTTCTTGGCTCACTTTTGCAGAGTTTTTAAGGACAACCTTTTCTAGGCAGTGCCTGGGTGGTTTGACATAATCTGCACTTTCAGATAATTGGTCCAACAATGCTAATAGCGTTTTCCAAATGCTTTTATATTACTTTGTACATTATTCTAACAGATGCAGTCTGAGGAATCCATCTCTTTACAGTGGTTTGTTCTTTCTTCTTCGTTCTATTTTCCTTCAGATCTGAAGCTTTGCTAATGATTCTTATTGAAAGTGGGGCTTTTATCCAAACTGCCATTACTTTAATGTCTCACAGTGAGATTACAGTTCTTAGGTAATTATATTACCAAAAGGGGGTTGTTGTTTTTTAGCTGCGTAAACATCGAGTTTTCAGAGTGGGGAGATTGAACATTTTTGCAAACTGTATATTTTAGTGGGGTAAGGGGGTTGTTTTTTTTTTTTTCTTCAAAATATCTTTCCACATGACCAATGCTCCTTTAAACTGATAAAAGTTTACTTTAAAAGGACACTTTAGTCACCAGAACAAGTACTGTGTAATGTAGTTGTTCTGGTGTGTGTATAGTATGCCCCTGCAGGGATTTTAATGTAAACACTGCCTTTTCAGAGAAATTACTGCCTAGTAACACTTCTAGTTGCAGTCACTGCCACTAGAAGTGCTTCCTGGGTCAGTGCAACGTTCAGCGTCTCCAGGCTCTTCATGGAGGAGCTGAAGTGTACCATAGAGATGCATTCAGTCAATACATTTCTGTGAGGAGATGCTGATTGGTGCAACGTTTTGCAGCGCATGCCCAATAGCTTTCCTATGCTTTCCTAAATTTCCATAAATTTTGATAATCTCAGCCAAGAAGCGAGTCGCTGCAAACCCCACAACCCTCTTTAATGGGGGCAAGGGGCCTAAAATTTGTTTTTTAACACTGTAGTGTCAATAATACATATTTTTGTTTCTTTAATAGAAACATGGGTTATAGATTCATACCTAGTCTGAGTATAAAGTAGCACGTTTTTTTTTCCAGAGCAAGGTATTTTCATGCTTAAATGTGAAGTATACAAACATCCTCGCATAATAAAAATACAAACTAGGTTCCTCACCTGTTATAACCTTTCTTTTTATTATTTTGTTTTGCCTTGACTATTTGGTTTCTTTTGTAGGTGAAAGGTTGGTGTGCACTTGTATTATCTTGTTTGCTTTTAATAATTAAATCAGTCATTGGCATTAAAGTAAATATTAGTAATTGTATTCTATTTTTTGTTTTGCTTATAGAAACGTGAGCGTAAGAAAGAGTTGGGCCAAGTTAATGGTCTGTTTGATAGATATGGAAGAAGGACGGTGTCACCTACCAGTGACTTGGATTTCTCCGAAAGAGCTGCTGGCAGCTACCGGACCCTTGCACAAGCCAGGATGCTGGAAAGAAGAGTGAGCCGTCCTGGCACCCCTACATCTAGTGCCAGCACTGATACCCCCACCTCAGAACAGAATGATGTCGACGAGGACATGATTGACGTGGATGACGAGCCCCCTGCTCTGGAGTCGGAGTATGGCCATTCTCAACTCAAAAGACCCTTCCAGCTTCTCATCGCAGCTGCCATGGAAAGGAATCCTACCCAATTTCAGCTCCCCAATGAGCTTACCTGCACCACAGCACTTCCAGGTCAGTGTTTAGGGAATAGCCTTGAAACCTTTTCATATCTGTAATTGCTTGCCATCAAGGTAACATTCCTTCTAAATGTAGCACAGCACTATCATTGCTGGAGCTATATTATTTGAATGTGTGAGTTGAAACTCCCCTACACCAGACACCCAGCGGCAAAGTCACCATCGGGGGTCATTGTAAATTATGCAAAGACCCCCAAGAGTGACAGAGCTGTTTTAATATTTGTAACCAGTTATTTTCATTATTCATATTTTGAATAATAACTTTAAAGGGACACTAGAAGCATCAAAACATATTTTCCTTAATGAAGCAATTTTGCTCTATAATTCATGCCCCTGCAGTAGCATTGTTGAATTTTCTGCCATTTAGGAGTTAAGTATTTTTTTATTTCTGTTTATGCAGCCCTAGGCACATTTCTTCTGGCTGCAACTGACACAACCTTCATGGGAAAATGGTTTCATTTTCAATCAGATCTTAACTTGCTTTTTAACTCTGTAAATAAAACTTTAATCACACACAGGAGGCTCCTTCGGGCAATTAATAGAGCAGGAGATAATAAATTCTAAATGAAACATAATGTGCAATAAAGGATGTTTAAACATGATTTCTCTTTTTACAGGAAGTGCTTAGGAAGGCTGTGTAAGTCACATGCAGGGAGTTGGGACAGGGGACTGCAGAAACAAAGGGATTTAACTCCTAAATGGGTATTAAGCAGTGACATTGCAGGGCTATGGTTGTTCCTGCGGCCCAGGAGTAGTGGGAGTATGAGTGTAGGACTTGTTTTTGTGTATTTATATTCACTTATGTATCACACAGCCATGTTACAATCATGCCACCCATCCCATGTGTTCCCTATTAAGGGTTAATAAGAATGTAGGGATTAAGAAAAATACCCCTCACTGTCTCATTAGATATTTCTTTGCCTGAAGCAAGCAGTTAGTGTAGGACCAACCTAAGAGGTTTGCCTGGCAGGTGGGCTTACATCTAATGGCGATTGGAGTTACTAAATAACCTCCATTTATTTAAATATGCATAGGGATTTGGGCTAGTGTGCAGGTAACTATTTTCTTTTATTTTTTTTTGCATGTATTGGGGCTGATGTATGCTATAGTCGTTGGTGCTGCTCAGGAGTAGTGGGAGTTTGAGCGCAGGACTTATTTTTGTGTATTTGCATTAGAAATACATAGCTAGGTAATGGTATTATTTCAAGGTAAACTATCGCTAGGTTGATAGGTTAATTAATCATATTTGAAGAACAACTTTAAAGATGTTCATGCTCTGTACATAGATTTGCAGAATAATAGTGGAATTATGGTGTTTTTTTTTTTCTGAACTATAAATGTTTATTTCATGTTTTTTCTGTGAAAAAGTGCACGATCTCTCTGTAGACACAAGCTCATTTGACTTATGATTATTATAAGTATTATTGACTTGTATTATTATAATTAATTTACCAAATATGTAAATATTGCTGAAAGTACATAAGAGACCCATATTTCATACAAAAAAAAACTTTTGGACTATAATGTATCTTGTATAGAAAACTATATTTTTATACATAGTTACCTCTAAAACCTTTTTATTAAAACAAATGTAATTAGATATTTTTATTTATTTTTAAATCAGATAAAGTGAGGTTTTATTTTGGGGGTTTTTTTTGTTTGATTTTTATATATATATATATATAATCAAATTTTTATCCACCCTGGTTGCCCTTTCTTATATTCTTTCTTCTAACTCTCTTGCAGGCACCAGCAAGCGACGTAGGAAAGAGGAGATGACGGGAAAGAATGTCAAGAAAGCACAGCATGAATTAGATCACAATGGCCTGGTACCTTTACCAGTTAAAGTTTGCTTCACTTGCACCAGGTATGAAAACCAAACTACCAGTATAGAACCCTACTGGTTTATTGCAAAAGAAAGGAGTCCTCGTGGTTTTTTCACCATATGGGATGAGCAACACAAACATCTTAAAGGGTAAAAATCTAAGATAAGTTACTTAGAAATATGTGTATATCTTTACGGTGTTTATCCGTTTGTGCACATGGATAGCAGATGATAAATTGTTTGACACACTGAATTCTCAAAGCACATTCAATTCAATGATTTTCACTGACTTTACCAAATCTTTGTAGACACTGTGTCATGCTTTAGCCAGATTTCCATTAGGGAGTTAATGATATAATATATCTATTTTCTAGCTACCAGCATGACCTGAGGCATTATTAATTTTTTTTTTTTTTTTTTTTTAAACTGGATGCTTAAAGGGACACTCCACTGCCCAAATGCAAAAAAAATCACATTTTAGTACATATACCCTCCAGTTTACCCTCCATGATCCACGTAATGGATTCTCAAATTAGAGACTATGGATTTGCTTGGAATGAACCTAAAATCAAAATGTGATTGGAAAATGAAATAAACTGTAACATTTTAAATGTCACCCTTAATGTCATCTGTAGGTTTGTCATTTATTCTTATGTCACATTGTCCCTTTTTCTTGTCCTTAAAGAAACACTCCAAAGCTTTAGAGGTTAACAGAGTGTCTCCTCCTTGTCACTATTTAAAATTATTATTTATAAAAGTGCCGCTTTTCACTTGATATACGCAAAGTGGCATCCTCTCAGTTGTCAATCAAATAGCAAGGAGGGAGTCCTTCCTGGTTGCTTTGTGCCCCAGTAAAAAGTGGAAGCCTATGCCTCTGCTTGAGAATTATTGGATTCCAAGATTCCTATGAGAAGAATTGGAGGGCTGTGCAGTATTTGCCGTGCATGTGCTCTGTATCCCAGTGTTTCTCTATCAAAAGCATTGTAATGGCTAGGAGATCATCAGTAGGCTTTTTTAAATGCATGTTCAAAGTTCTAGCTTTATTTTAAAGACCCAGGAGGCTTTAGCACAATTGATCTTCTTATCTGAACAGGAAGCACACACCTATATTCTTTGTCTACGATTCAGCCGTGGTGAAACCTGTGAATTTTTGTTTTGTTGGTAGAGTGGGATCATTAATACACTGTGTTTATCTTTATTGCAATAAGTTTACATATCCTCATCACCCCACTAGTAATCTTTCATTTCTTTTGTAAGACGTTTGGTGCAGCACCTGCAAGTTCCTTTCTATATTTTGTGGGTGGAGGTGTTACTGTGTTGAAACTGCACCCTGCCCAAGTAAGACTCACTGCAAATTCATTGCTTCTGTCTTAATGTTATTAGGAATTACACATGGCATAAAAAGACCCAATTCACATTGAATAGTAGTAAGATGCAACACCATTTGCTAGTCACTAGTAAATAGGGCATGTTGTGCTATTAAAATGAGAGAGGGCATGACAAATGTAATTCTGGTATCGGTAGCCAACACAAAAATCTAAGAACTAGGCATCCCCTTGGCATCTGTACCACATACATGCAACATACTCGACTTGTGATAACATTTTCTACAACTCCTCTTTTACTAATACCTTCAGATCTTACACACAATGCTATGAATAAACTGTAAAGGGGCAAAGATTTGGCTGTGTTTTTACTGTGAAACTGGCTGCCAGTGCCTACCATATCTTCATTGTGGACAATGGGCAGCAATATCTACCATTTGAGTCTATTTCAGAAGTTATTTCCCACATACCACAAGCCTATTTATATTGTTTAGGTGTCAGCTAAAGTTTTCTCTCCCTACTATAAACATTAATTTTAAACTGATTTATCTTGTTATTGAAATTTAGTACACAAGTTGTCCCTTTTTGACAGAGGGCAAGAGCCTTTAGTGTGAGGAGTAGGGCTGTACAGTTCACTACCTAGAGTTCTGCATTAATTATTGGACAAGAAATGGCATTAATTGGCTTATTATGTCAAATTAAGCATTGCTTTATCCTTTTTGCCTTTTATAGTTAAGAATATGGAAACTCCACTTCTCCAGGGTGGGCATGAGAGAAAAAAGGGCCTAAATACTTGTGAATATGCCATGGTTATTGGGAATTGCACAGAGCTGTGCCATCCAAAAAGTTAGTGGATATCCCAGGCCCAGTTAAAAAAATAAAATAAAACTTCAATCATCTAAATGCTGCGCAAAAAATGATTTGCATTTTTTTTCATTTATAAGGGCAGCCAATATGTTAACATATGAAACACTGACAATTGGTTCTCACTCTGTTTTCAGGAGCTGTCGTGTGGCACCTCTTATTCAGTGTGATTACTGCCCTCTCTTATTTCACATGGACTGTTTGGACCCTCCCCTCACTGCTATGCCAACAGGCCGGTGGATGTGTCCTAACCATATTGAACACATTGTGGTGAGTTGCCTTGTATTTTTTTCAAATTTTATGGGGGAAATGTAGGCTTGGTGGTGATTTGTCCCATCTTAGATAGATGAGTGCCTGTTACAATCATGGTGCCTCTCTGGGAAGAACAGTGATTTCTACTTCTAATCGGTGTGTTTAATATTGTGGGTAAGATTCCCTTGTAAAAATAATGACTTTTTACCTGATTAATATATTGGTTTGAGAACTGATTGACTTGGCTTATTATACACTTAAATTGATATGCTGTTTTTTCTACAGCTGAACCAGAAGAGTATGACCCTGAGTAATCGCTGCCAGGTTTTTGACCGCTTCCAGGATAGCATTTCACAGCATGCGGTGAAGCTGGACTTCCTGAGCCGCATTCACAAAACAAACCCTCCCAATCGCAGGGTGCTACCACTGTCCAAAAAACATACGGTTAAGGTGCGTAGTTTGATTCTGTGGCACAAATTATTGGCAAAATGTGAGATTATTAATTTTTTACAACTTTAGAGTGCAAATAACTGTTGATTCTAAATTCTTCTTTTTTTTTTTTTGCCTGTTAATTTAGTGCAAAATAATTTTTATTTTTTTCCGATGTGGTCTTATTTATGTGGAAACTCCAATGCCTGATATATTAATTATTAGCAGTCCTTAAATAAGTATTTTTATGTAACAAGAATACTTGCAAAGAAATATATGTAGGGTGACCGGTGCAATTTAAATTCTCCATGTACATTTGTCATTTTGCAAGTGTGAATATACTCATGCACACACTGCAAATTATAATATATATTTTTTTTATTATTGTTTTTGTGGGTGGTACAAGAGAAATTGAGCGTTATGTCAAATATAAACAAATGGAGGTTATTTAGTTGCTCCAATAGCCATGAGTTTTTAGCCCACCTGCTACGTCAAGGCAAACATCTCAGGTGGGTCCCCCACTGACCTTTCACCTTGCTTCCTTGAGCTTCTGGCAAAAATATCTCTGAGACTGAAAGGGGTATTTTTATAAACCTCTACATATTTATCAACCCTTAATAAGAAGAACATGGGTTGGGTGGCGACATTGTAACATTACTGTGTGATACAAAAGTGAATACAAATACGAAAAACCGGTCCTGCGATCAAACTCCCATTACTCTTGGGCGGCAGCAACGACCACAGTACACATACTGTATATATTGGGGCTGATGTGTACTGTGGAAGTTTGAGCGCAGGACCTGTTTTATTGTATTATGTCATATATGACCTCAAGAATGTTGTGTACAGGAAATAAAAGCAATGTCAAGATTATACTCCCATTTTTATGTAATAAAACCAGAACTTGGCTAGTGAAGTAGTAGCATAGGATATGTAGACTAATTCACCTTACAGCTGATATCATGAGCTATGAATATAACTATGCAAAATTAAAGGTACGAAGACTAAGCTCCTAGTTGAGGAAGTTTAACCACTACCACATGGAGTAGGAGTGGGTGGAGACAATCCTATACAAATAACTCGGGCGTATATGCCTAGTTTGTCAACAGTATCACCTTCAAGGCAGTGGCAGGGTTGTACAGTGTCCGCAGTAATAGCTTGTAAAATAAGAGCGGAGAAAGTAAAGCTATAATAAAACAAAACCATAATTGCATTTTATGCAAAGAGTCTTGCTCCCCCTCAGGAGTAAAAGGAGTGCTGGATTTGAATCTGCCACTTCCTGGTCCAGGAAGAGAACAGGGCTCTCCCCTGGTCCAAAGGCTTTAAACTATTTCTTATCTTTTGTGACCATTAGTGATCTGGACCATCGGTAGTAGTCCTGCATTTTGAAGGGTCCTGGTAATAGGCTGGATAAATTTTGGTTGAGGTCTTGAAAAAAAGTAAGGCTGTATTGTTCAAATACAAAATATGTTTTCCCTTTAAAGGGACAATATAGTCACCAAAACAACTTTAGCTTAATGAAGCAGTTTTGGTGTATAGATTTTACTCCTTCCGTTTCACTGCTCAATTCTCTGCCATTTAGGAGTTAAATAACTTTGTTTATGTAGCACTAGTAACACCTCCCTGTATGGGACTTGCACAATCTTCCTCAACATTTCCTGTAAAGAGAGATCTAATGTTTACACTTCCTTTATTGACCAGCCTGTTTAATAATTTATATCCTGTGTCAGTCACAGCCTGGGAGATGTGGCTAGGGCTGCATGGTTAGAAACAAAAGGGAATTTACTCCTAAATAGCAGAGAATCGAGCAGTATGTGTATAGATATGTCCTAAACACAAAACCTGCTTCATTAAGCTAAAGTTGTTTTGGTGACTATTGTGTCTTTTTAAGTGAGGTTAGACGTTTATCTGCATATGTCTGGCAACATTATGTCTCGCGGAGTTGTATTTGGTGCTTGAGGTGATATTGAGATTCTGTATACACCGTCAAATGTGAATTGTTTGGCTTGTCGTGTTGGTAAGATGAATGCTTGTCTAATAAAATGGGCAAATTACTCTGGGGGGAGTGAGTCTGCCACACCTCTTATTTCTATCCTTGTCATCAATCTGGTCTACCTGTAAGGAGAGATGTGAGTGTGTGGACTGCAGCTGCGTTACCGTTTCTCATAGGGTAGCCAGATCTTGTCTCCGATCGAAGATATCTTCCCCTGAGCCATGCACTCTAGTTGTCACTGCCTGTACCTTGTATATACTATAGCCAACTGAGCCGAGAATGGTTTTTGTTTTTTTTGGTATATCCTGTTTAGTGGGTGGTGCATCGCACTCTGGTATTGTTTGTACCTCTACCGTCAGGACTGTTGGTGTAGGAGGCAAAGTCCTGTCTGGTATATCCTCCACTTATAGAGTATATATGGCCTCTAGCTGCGTCTGTGCTATTGCTATATTACAGGTTGTAAAAGTTAACAGCTGGCCGATCTCTTGACTCTCTTTAGCGGCAGTTTAAAGTAACTTCTGCAATTTGCATCCCATTTCTGCACTAGGATGTTCCCCAGAGGGTACCCCAGCAGATGAGGAATGCTCGGTCTTCCACAACTGCTGCCAATTGCAATCCATGGGCCTTGCCTGCAATAGGCCTAAACAAACAATGCATAACTTTTACTCCTAGTAATCCAAACATGTTTTTAATCCAACAGGTTTTACTATTCCCTTTGTAATGGCATGGAGTTGGTTTGCTCTTCACCCCTAACTTCTCCAATTTAAAATCACTCTTTTCTTCTCAGGTTCCTGATGCAATCAAAGCACAGTACCAGACACCTCCACAGCTAATGGCCCCGGCGGGAATACGTGATGGGGAATTAATTTGTAACGGCATACCCGATGAATCTCAAAAGCACCTCTTGAACTCTGAGCACTTAGCCAGCCAAACAGAGCAACAAGAGGTATGTTTGTAGTTGTAATACAACTGTCAAAAGTAATTGTCTCACTAAAGTATGCAATGTTTTTATACCAAGACCCACCTGATCATGGAAATATCTTACTATGGTGTCATTTGCACACACCAATTGTAAGAGCCAGGACACAGTTTGCATTTAAACCATAATGCGGAAGTACTTTTGTACATGAGCAGCCCTAAATAAAATGTAATATGTAGCGTTCTTCTACCTGTTGCTATGATTTGTTTAGTTCTTTACTGGTTTAAAAAAAAAAAACTGCATTGTAACAGTAGAAAAGGGTGTGAAACGTACATGCTCAGCTTTATTAGGATTGTAAAAGTTGTTCCAAGTAACATCACAACTTCCTATGATTTTGAAGCTGTCATGGTGCCTGGAGTCAGTCTGTCTGTCTACAGAGGATAACCCCTCTGCTGCCAGCGCTGGAATGGAGGTAAGTTATAGAGATATATTTTGATTTCATTTTTTTATTTTGTTTCAAGTGGGGGCAGAGGATATAGAAAGGTTTACACTGACCAATCAAGAACCACATGTTTATTAAAAGAGTTTTTTGGTTGGATTAATCCTTTAAGATTTAATACATGTGCAGGGTATAAGGGCATCCATGATTAAGCCTCTAAATTTATATAAGTATGAGCCAGAACACTGCCCTCTGCAGGTTTTCTGTAGACACAAATGTCTGCACTTTAGGCTTAGATATAGGTAGAAAAAGTGTTGTAATTAACTGTACTTGTAAGCTAAATGCACTTCATTGTTAGTCAAGTTGTGTTTCTAATCTGCTGAGTCTGTGCATCTACTGCGGTTGCATATTCAAATTTAATCCAGGTTTCTGGTTTATTCTTCAGTGGCTCCGCAGTGTGATTGCACTCCAGTGCAGCATACTGAAACATTTGTCTGCTAAGCAGATGCCTCCGTCCTGGGACACAGATGATACTGAGACTTTGGATGTCAAACCGGTTATTGCACTCGATGGTTCGGTTTCCAACTCTCACCAGCACACTGATGGCAAAGCGCAGTTTCCCGCATCTTTAGGCATGTGTCCGAGCAGCCAGGCCATGTCTTTGCAGGAAGATACGACATTTGTGGTCAAGCCTTGCCTCTCAACCACATTTGGCACCTCAAATGGACCTGCTGCTCCAGAGTCCAAATCGAATGGCCCTCATGCTTACGGTGTTAGCCCTAATCCTACGGAACAGTTGACTGATCCTCAAAAGCTAACAGGACCAAGTACTGGTGTGTCGGTACTGACTCAGCGGCAAGCACGCCCTCGTTCGGGCACTCCTCCTTCTGCTACAGTACTCCCGAAACATCTGATGAAAGCAGATAATACATTAGGGTCATCACTGTGTACGCCACGCGTACCAGTACCTGCCATTACACCCCCGAGCTCTTGCACCAGTTCTGAGCTTACTAGCACTTTGTTACGCAAACCTGCGCTAACACAACCTGGGCTTACATTCAACCAACCTGACTCCAAATCAGTGGGATCTCCACTTTCTGGTACCAGGGCCCTTACACCTCCTCAAGCTATAGATGTACTGACCTCTGCAGCATCTGGTGCCTCCAGAATTTGTGCAGCAGCACCACCTGCAGGTGAGTTGATTGCTTTACTGTTTAATAATATGATGTCATTTACATTTTATTTATTTATTTATTTTTTATGATTCCTATATATTATGCAACTCTATAGTTTTAATGTGAGGATGTAGTACATCATTTAATTGAGAAAACCATATTGAGAAGGAAAAAAAAAACACTTGAAGGCCATGCTCAAACTAGTTTGCCATCTAGGTATTTCCAGAGGAATACAATGGTAGAATAGCTGGACATTAAGGCCGGTTTAAAAAAAAAAAAAAAAAATGCCTACAGGCACTGACTATATGCACCAGAACTACTACATTAAGCTGTAGTTTTTCTGGTGGCTATAGTGTCCCTTTAAAGTAACACTACAGTTACCCAGATCACTTCAGCTCATTGAAGTGGTCTGGGTGCAGTGTCCTAGGTCCCTTAACCTTGCAATGATTATTGCAATTGCAACTACAACAATTGCCTTGGAGGGTTAACTCCACCTTTATTGGTTGTCTACCAGACAGCCCCTAAAGGGACTTCCGGGTGGTTAGGTGAGTTTTGGTAGCCTTACAGACCCTGGACGTCCTCAGGCTATGGATAATGACACCTGGCGTCCCCTGGAACCCCTTAGGAAAGCATTATGCAATGCTTTCCTACGGGGGAGTCCTAATGCAAGCACGGCAGGTCCTCCCCCCACTCCCCACAACTGTTTTCCTGGCACTATAGTTTCTCTTTAAGAAGTGCAATTTAAGAGCTCCTACCACCACCTGCCATTGAACAGTGGGCAGTGCCTCTTCCTGACAATAGGAATTGCAATGTTTAAGTCCACATTTATACATATAGTATTTATATTGCAATTGTTGAAATATATCTATTATGCAAATCCTACCTGTCTGAACAGACTTTGTAGGCAAATATCCTACTACAGAATCAGGCTGTTTAAAATTTAGTTAAATATCTGTCCACCCTCTGCTTCTGTCATTGTTTTGACAACTATATAATAGTGTTTTGGCATCACAGGGTTGGTTTGGAACAGAAAACAGTGCTGTCTGTCTCAGTATCAGTATTAAAGGATTTATCACTTGTTATTGTTTCCCTTTTATTTTGCTTTTCTGGTTTTATCCCCTTTTATGATTTTCTTTAAATGTAGTTTTATTTCATTGTTTGTAAAATTATAGTTCCGTTGTCTATCAAAAACACAAAAACAAATTTTAAAATTTTTATTCATTCATGCTTTAATATATGCCCCAACAGATGGTAATGTGTGTACAGTTACCTGGCATGAAGTCAGTATTTGGGACATTAAAAATCCTTGTATTTAATTATATTGGCTAACAGACTCTAAACAAAACCCAATTTAGCACAAGCTGTGAGATATTTTCTCGGTTAATTCAATGCATTCTATCTCTTTTGCATTAAACACATACATTTGACAGTCATGTGGTATTCATTCAATATATCCACTATGGTAAAATTTAAAATTATCAAATCAAAAACTTGTCTTAAAATAAATCTTATCAGAAGCTAGGAGCACAATTTCTATTTTTTATTTATTTTTATTTTATTTTGTAGAGAAAAGTAAGACAAGACAGCTTTGCGGTTATAGTGTGAAGAAAATTGTTTATAGCAAACATAGCTTGATTTGCAGATTAAGTGCTTATCCCTATGTTATTCACAATGGATTGGGGTTTTGGGTTTTTTTTGTTTGTTTTTTCTCTATATCATCCACCATACACTGTTATTTATTATGTTGTAATTAAAAATAAAATTTATTAAAGGAACACCACTACAGCGACCCCCTCCCTCCATTGTAAGTCGCTAAATTGTTTTTTAAATTATTTGACTTCTCTCATGGGTTCCGCTCCTGCTTATTGCTCTCAACCAATGAGCTTAGACTTGCACTACCAGGTTTAGCTCAGACCGAGAACTTCCGGTTCTCTGGTTGTGGTAGTTTGGGCGGAAAGCTGTGCCAGTCACACACCAGGTAAGAAGTTGCAGTCCTAAAATGGTTTGGCTACCTGCATGCTGTAGTGGTTATGATGCGTAGAGTGTTTCACGGGTTTGACCCATCTTCCAAATCTAGAAGAAGACATTCTTGTGGAATAGTCTGTAATTTTGTTTATGTAAAGCTGTTGGTTGATAATACCCTTTTAAAATAAGTGAAAAGGCTGCTGTTCTGATTTCTGTCCTTTTTTCATAGATGGTAAAGTTCGGCCTAGTACATTATTACTCGATTGTGTTCCAAGCGGTTCATGTACAATAACCTCTTCAGCAATGATGGAGTTGACCAACTCACTCAGAGCATTGATGGATGGGAATGGAGGTGAGTGATGCTTGTCTGGGCAAACATTTTAATCTTCTGGACTATCCACAAGATAATGATCTCTTGATTTAAAAAACAAAACAAAAACAAAAAACATAATTGTCTATTCATGGGTGCACTGATCCACAAAGAGCTTTTCGAGCACTGTATGCCAGCAATCCAGATATTTAGTATTTTTGTCTTTCTGTCCAATCAAATTTATATAATTGATAACTTACAAGATATATTTTAAAGGAACACTATAGCCTTTAAAATGAAAACACTCAGCCTGCATCCCTGGCTGAGATCATCAAACTTGAATTACTTCAAATATGCAATAAAAATAAAGGAAGAAAAAAGTATGTAATGAACATTTATAAACTTGGTCAGATTGCATTGTTGGACACACCTGTCAGTGAGGAGAGTTATTACAGCCTCCTGCTCTTCTCAGTTTGACTAGTCCACTAATTACAGCAACAGGGTATCAATGTGCAGTACTCCCTCTCTATTCCCCCAGTCAGATGTTGCAAGATGAAAATATCTTTCAACTGCACGTGTGTAAATCTGTCAGGCATGCGCAAAGCATTTTTCTAGCATTCCTAGGGATAGGACACTGTTTAGATCAATGTCCTCATGTCCTTGTTGGATTGGGTGTGGAAAGCATAAGAAAGAAGCTAGTAAGGGGAGGGAGTAGGGGGGAATCTTATTTACTTGCTTTTTTCAGCCTGCAGAGAGAAGCAACTGTCTCATTCAAAGCTGCTGTCTCATTTCCTTTAAAAGAGGTATCTGGCTTTAATCATGTGTCAACTTTAAAATGTTATGTTGTTTCCTTAAATGGTCTATATTTTTAAAACAATCCACTCATGGACAGTTTAAAAAAAAAAAAAAAAAAAACATTCTCCTTTTCATCCTGCTTAGTTCCACAGCTGTGCATTGGACACCCCAGTGGTATTTCAGAAGTTGATATTCATCTTCTTAAATATAAACACTATTAATGCAAGAGCGAATGGTAACACATTCTGTAAAAGTATTTACCAAATTATTAGCCCTTAAAGGAACACTATTGTGTTAGGAATACAAAACTGTATATAGTGTCACTCTAAATGTGAACTTATTACTGCAAGTTTTGAATCATTTAACATTACAATAGGCTATCCGTTATATTTATTGCATTATTAAGAGTTAACCGGTGGCATATTGAAAGTGCTCGTTAGTTTAAATTGACACTGAGCTTATGATACTGTGGGAGAGAGATATTTTGTATGTGATTTAAGTCTCATTAAATAAACTTTGTGCATATGCAAAACTAACACCAAGCAGCATCATATAACACGTGTGAAGGGCCTCCGCAAGGAAGCTTTAAAGGACCACTATAGTGCCAGGAAAACACTCCCCTCCCGCTGGGCTTAAGGGGTTAAAATCCCTCGGCGCTGGTGACTTCTCCTCCCCCTACCGATGGCAGATCCAAATGCTTATGTGCGGCAAGAGCCGCGCGTGCATTCAAACCGCCCATATAAGAGCATTACTCAATGCTTTCCTATGGACGTCCAGCATGTTCTCACTGTGATTTTCACAGTGAGAATCGCGGAAGCGGCCTTGAGTGGCTGTCTGAAACTGCTTTGTTTTCAGCTGCAGGGTTAAAACTAGGGGGACCTGGCACCCAGACCACTTCATTGAGCTGAAGTGGTCGGGGTGTCTATAGTGGTCTTAAGTTTTTCTTTTTCTTTGTCTTTTGCACTGTTAAATGATGATTTCTCAAGCTACCCAATGATCAAATTTAATCCTATCCTTTGATCAGTGATTCAGATATTTGGTCTTTTTGAGTCCTTAATCTCCCATACATGTTGCTTTCACTTATTATGTAGTGAATAAATTGTGTACATGAACATGTTCCATGCTTTGTCTTCATTGCAGAAATCCAAATTAATCTGTTGGATGAAAAGCTAGTAAAGTTGTTGGCCATGCAGAGAATCCAGGAGATTTTTTCATCGAAAGATCATTCTGCAGCAAGTGTCACCCGTCCCCAGCCAGCCCCTTCTATTGGCAATCACGTAGAAGGTGAGTTGAAAGAAAAACAAGCACTACTTCTTGAAAAATGACCGTGATTGTTATATTGGACCTTTTTGTAATTCTTCTATATCTGTGAGTGCTTACCTTGGCACCCCAAATATCTGTGAGCCACATCTTCTGCAATGCTTGGCTAACGTTAAAGCTGGTTGTACTTCATGAGAGGTGTGGTACTCAAACAAACAGGGCGGATTCTATCCAGGGAGATATAAATCAATTTAATGTAACCCTAACAATTCCATCAAATCTTTCCTTCACACCAAAGAAAATCAAGTTGGCGTTCACCACTCAGTAATTATCTGTCTGCTTTATAGACTGTTTGTTTGTTTTCTCTGCAATTTCCTTTGTCAAATTGTAAGGATCAATTCTCTAGTTTTCAGAGCAAGCACAGATGTGTTTATTTTCTGTAGGTTCCCAACATTGGTATCATCACTTCATGTGTCACTAAACAAGGTGTAGATGGGAGATCTGTTGAATTGATCCAAACTCACTAATGTGGCAAACTACATAAAAACAGAGCAGATATATAATTGTTAGTATTTTTCCTCATAAACACACATTGGCTTGAAATTAACTTTTTAAAGGTACAATCCAAGCACTGTAATGATCTGGCAGCAATCGTGGGATGATTACTATCCTTTTAAAGATTTTAGCTACTCTTTGGGAATAATATATTTATCTCATAATTCACTGCTG